ATATATGCACACACACAGTGAAACCTTTAGAAGAGACCATTAAAACCTCTCCCAGCAATCGGCCAAACCTCTGCCCTAAATACGGAAAAGATGAAAACAAAAAATATTTTAAAAAATTAATTGATTAATTAATTAAAAAGTATTCCAAATATGTGCATGAGGCTCTAATTTAGAGAGCTTTTTTTGACGATCTCTGGAAGATCTATAACCTCATGTTGAAGTCAGAGTGCACTAAAGATGATGATATCAATGATTTATTTAGAGTTGAAAGTCTAATTCGAAAAACTAAGCATTTCAAACAACATGACTACTTCACATCTTTTAAAGCTAGCTAATTTTTATGATATGAAGTTAAATGCCATCTTAAATTTAATTGTTTATTTATTTGAAATAGTTCTATCATTCATAAACATTAAATTTGTTTTTAGACATAATTATATCAGTAGGGATCATTTTTATTGACACTGAATTTTATTCATCAATCTGGTTTTCATGGCCTCAACACAGGTGGCATTTCCACTCCAAGCAAATGACACTGAGTAAAATTAAAATTGCTTACGAAAAATCTTGTTCCTTCGATATCTTTTTGAAGTCCATGAAGGTAACCTCTAAGAACCAACCTTTAATGCCAATTTTAATGTAAAACAGAGAGTGGTCGCTCTTGAGAGGTTTCATTGCATATTTATATATACTAACAAAGAAACACAAGGTTCAGTTAAATCATTTTGTTAAAATATTTTTTAAAAAAAAGTTTTAAGATTATTAAATAGAATAAAGTAAAGTTAATTATTAAATAAAGTAAAGTTAGTTATTAAGTGGAATTAACATGATTATTTTATAAAATGTCAACTCACTAAAATGAATTTTTAATGTGGTGATTAAAATATTTATTAATTGAAAATTTTATTTTGGATTTAACTATTTCCATAATCTGATTTACAGAAAAGTTGAAATTGACTTATATGATTGTATAATAAGATACGTTATAAACTATGAGTTTAATAAAAATAAAATTTGCAACTTTTATTATACTGTAACATTTTATTAGTTTTTGATTAATTTATACATAGTTTTCAGTTTAGAAAGAGTTTTCAATGAAATAAAAATATTTCTGTCTATTAGGAGGTGACGTAGTGGCTATGGATGGAAGTGGATCACTTTCTATATTCGGTAATAAATACTTTGACGATGAAAACTTTGATTTGAAACACACTGGACCTGGAATATTAAGCATGGCTAATGCAGGTAAATTATTTAAATTGAAATGCAAAAAGAATTGTTCTTCTTTTGATATTATTGACTTGTGGCTTAAAATCATAATTTATTTTTTATATGGTCTATTGTCATTTGGGTTTGAGTAAAAAGTTGATTGAATTCCAAAACTTGTTTAATCTGTATTGAAGATTATAAAATTTTTGTAATAAATTAAATGAAAGAAAAACTTTAGTTCTTGCTTTTTAACAGTAATTTGTAATATATATATCTATAAAAAAATTAACTCTTTTAAATGAAATATTTTTATCTATACATAATTTTAAAGTCTGGTAATTTAAAGTTTTTGGTGGTCTATGGCCCAAATAATTCATTATAAATTTTTAAATGCTGGAGAAATACTGTGAAGAAATTGAAGTTATGCATCAAAAATTACGTCAAATGCAGCCAGCACTAGTTAACTGAAAAGGGCCCATTTTACTTCATAACAGACGACCACATATTTCATTGATCCTCCCGAATAAGTTAGCTGAATTAAAATTAGAGGTTCGCCATGTCCACCGGACACATCAACTACTTATTACTTTTTTAAACATTTGGGTAACTTTCTCCGTGATAAAAAGCTCACCAATCTTTAGAGCAGATCAAAAATGACTTTCAATCTTTTATTGATACCAGTGAGCCAAATTTTTATGAAAGTGGTATCCAAAAACTATTAACACGTTGGTAAGAATGAGTCTATTGTGATAATTTTTACTTTGATTAATAAAATAGTTCTTAAAAAAAATTATGCTTATTTAGTATTACAATGAAAAATCAGACATTTCATATGTAACAACCTAATAATATTCTTGGTTAATTTTAGCATCAGAATTTTAAAAAAATTTGACTTAACTTTTCAGAAAAGCAATTAAAGTTTATAGAATCGTTAAGTGGATCAGCTAGTATTAATTCTAAACAACTACAGATTACTTTTCTCGTTAGATTATGTATGTCCTAAACTCCATAATAGATATTTTCCTCATTGAGCTATTTCAAAGCATTTACCATAATGTACTATACCTTTAACTGTTAAAGCTGTAATATATATAAAACATATATGTTGAAAATATATATAATAAAACATGTGTACAATTTTTTTGTGAAACTTACTCTATTATAGACAATAAATTACCTACAGTTTATTTTTATTAAGTGGGATTAGAATTATCTCTCAGTAAATTGGTAAAAACTACTTTTGTCCTAAAAATCTTTTTATTCATAATATGAAGAAGCAGTTAGTATTCAAAACTTGTCACTTCAATTTTATCCTTCATATCCACAATTTAAAATTTTTTGCACCCACTTTTTAAATTTGGAGAATTTTTCAGGTTATTTAAAGAGGATTTTCTCAACTAACTGAAATTTTTACAATCAAACATATTTTTGGTTTGAAAACCTTAACACATCGTTCTTTCTCTATTCAGGTAAAAACACAAATGGATGTCAATTTTTCATCACAACAGTAGCCACTCCATGGTTAGATGGACACCATGTTGTTTTTGGCAAAGTCATGCAAGGGATGGATGTTGTGAATGCCATTGAAAATGTTAAAACTACTGCTGAAGATAAACCAATCAATGACGTTATTATTAGTAAATCTGTAGTTGAAAAAGTCTCTGAAAAACTAAAGATCAAAATGGAATAACAATTGATGCCCAGTTTGATATTTTTCTACTTATTAATGCTAGCCAAAGTTTTACCAAATAAAATCTTCATATTTTTTTACTTCTCAAAATAATCTGGTTTTTATTTTGTTTGAAACAAATATATTTTTCAATGGAGATTTGAAATAAACTAAACATTTAGTGTACTTAATTTTACTTCAGAGTAAATATATGAAATTTGCTATAATGTTTTCAGCCATGCTCGAAGTTTTGAATCCTTCATAGGATTTTAATGAGCTTATATGTAGATCAATAGTGTATATATAGAAAATTATTTTTCTAAAAGGTGTTTATCAACAAAATCTATTTTGTCTAAAAGAGTTTTAAGATCATAAATTTAACCTTTAGCTATCTTAAATCTAAATGAATAAAAAGTTTGATGTTTGCTGATGAAAGTTATAATTACACGATTGAAGATATCAACTTCAGTTATCTGTGATATACTTTCATAGTTTTTTTTTATGAGATTCACTATACCTTTGTTTTATCTGTAAGTAAAAAAAAAAAAGTCTTGAAAACTATTTGTGTCAAATTTTTATACATCTGAAATATGTTGTGTTATAATTTCAGAGCTTGTTTTAAGATATACAGGTGTTCAACTTCTGTGTGAATATATGCTGTGCAGCTTTTTATTTCTTTTTACCTTCAAATAAATGTTGTTACTTTTTCTAATTGTGCTCATTTTTATTAGTAAAAACATTATATACTAGTATTATGAAGAGAAAAAAAACATCAGCAGAAATTTGAAAAAAATTCCCTTAAAATTCAGAGAAAAATTTAAGAACTATGTTATGCTTATTATTTTACTCTAATCCTAGTATCCAGACCAATCCTTAAAATAAAAAAGCCTCATGCTTGTAATTAATTTTAAAATAAACTTCAATAATTTAATACTTTTAATTGTCTAACTATTGAATTTTTCATTCCTACAGAATATAATATCATTTTTCACCATTGTCGCACATAAATTTAACATACTTAATAATACATTAGTGAATTTACCTTTTTTTTTAAAAAAAAAGTTTTTTGTAAAATTGTTTGTTTATGCCATTTTTTTATTAAAACAGAGACTGGAAAAATCATAAAATAGAATTTCAAGCATCGGTGCAATTAAGCAGTGACTTTAAAAAAATGATTTAAGGAATACTTTCTTTAATAAAACAATTGTTAACTCTCTAATTAGCATCTTATTAAATAAATGTTTGCTAACTTTATCTTCTGATTACTTAAGTAGATCAACACAATAAAAGAATTTTAAACACCTCATAAATAATTAAAATACTAAAACTGCTTCCAAATTAAATTGAAACCCATACGAATTTCAGGCCTAAATTTATAATTGCTTATACTATGCCCTATAGGTAAGCTGACCAGTGTCCTAAAACTTTTGAAAAGTCACCTCTTTACTTTTCCAATTATTTAAACCAAAATTATATCTGTTAGAGCCCACAAGAGATTTCTGTTCTCAGAATATTAAATTGGAATGGTGAAGCAGTGAGTTTACAAATACCTGTTTAAAAAATATACAACCAGTGTTTTGAGGATGCTATTCAGCCTACCTATAGAGCAAAAGAGGAAATTTTTCAAAAATTGAAAATAAAACTATTAAAAAAACTGTTAGCATTACTAAGCCTGAAATAAAGTTATTTTCTGAACATTATAATAACTCTATATTTTTGAAAAGAAAATAATAAAATCACATGGTGCATTTTTGCCAAACAGTGATTTGCAGAAAATTTTTCAAATGCCATTTGTTATATTTTGTTGCCCTGTGTCCGATTGCAACCGTTAAGTTTGCCTTATACTGTGGCCGTAAGAAACTGGTTTTTTAGGTCATTAAACTAACTTCGTAATGGGTATTGAATCTAATCCTCTTTGTAGAGGTTGTCATCTTGAAGAGGAGACTTCACGACATGTACTTTGTGATTGTGAGGTCTATTCTGCTCAAAAGATTTTAGTAATTAGGGCAACACTGCAAGATGTTCCTGTAAGGTGTTTGCTGATTTTCATTACAGCCATAAGACTTTATTGTTAATCGTGATTTAGGGTTTGGGTACATTAGACCTCTGGTCGATGTGCCATGGTCTTTAGAGCTGCCCAACCTCTACATCTATCTATTTAACCTTAAAAATGATTTCGCTTGCATATCACGTATTGGTATATAATCTGCTTTCATTAAAGCATTCATGTATATGAATATGTTCTTGTGAAATTAAAATAAATTTAAAAGTAGATTTTAACAAAATTACTTTTAACGTAATGTTTGTCATGTACTCCTATTTAGTATCAATATAAAAAAAAATTTCATTACAATGTTAGCATATTTGACAAAATTTTAAAGTGGACAAGTATTTTCATGTTGCGTTAATAAAAAAGAACGGCATTTATGATGATATAAATCTTGATTGCAAGTAGCTCATGTCTAAAGTTAAATAGAAAAAAAAATTCTTTCTTCAATGACTATCTTATGCTTGAGATTATTTTCTTGCTAAATTTAAAGCTCTTGTGAGTTATGTCTGTAGAAATATGATCAAGTTTAATGTTTAAAAAATAATTAACATCCCACATAATAAATATCTGGAATGTACTAAAATAAAAAATGTACCTTTCACTTTCAATTGTGGAAAATTTTTATGTATCAAGAATATGCAAAAATAATAAAAAATCGGGTAGGAACAAGGGGGTCAAGAACATTGCAGCTGGAAAGATTTGAATATAATGCGTAACATACAAAGACAATAAAAAAAAAATTCATTCTGCATTATTTCATTTTTACAATATTTCTATTACTCATTTACAGTCAATGCTGTTACACATTAACAGTCAATACAATCTGAAACTGCTAGAAAGGTGATAATGCATAATAAAATGCCTACAGTAGAAAAATATTATATAGTATTTTATTCTTACTGTATTTCCAAACAAGTTACACATTTACTACCTATTCAACTACTGGAGATTTTTAAAGATTTAGCCGGAGGCCTGGAAAAATGCATTACATGGAATATCAGACTTTCTCGCAAATAAAGGATAAAATTAAAACACATGCTGTTGCAGAAACTGTATAGTAAAATCTTGTAGCATCCCCTGAAGTAAAATTTATTCTAAATAGTTCTTGTTTATTACATGAAGTTTGAAACCCCATCTAGCAGCTCCAGATAGCATTTTCAACCCCACGCTTAAATATGATTTTTTATACCTGCTTTGTCCTTTCATTTTGGACACATTATTTTGAATCTCCCGGTGTATGTTACTATGAAAGATGTCAACGTCCATACCTTAATAAAACTACCAGTTCTAGTCCAATCTATGTGACAGATCAAAATTAATGAATGTCATTCTTCCCACAGTCGCTTACGTGAAAGCTTGAAAATGTTTATAAAAATTTCTAAATACTACTCTTTTACACCAGCACATGTCATTATTTAGCATGATATGATAGTGGATAATGAATAAAATGTTTTGTAAAACATAATTATCTTGCACTTACACCTGTAAACATCGATGACTAAGTTGTAGACATTCAAAAATCGATGATGTGAAGTTCAACATTCACTGACTGAAGACAAGTCACGAAATAGCATAATAATTTGCAGCAACATTCACTGATAAAACAAATTATTATGACATTTTATAACTGAAATCTACATATAAGATTCAATATGACCTGATAGTGAACGTTGAATAAAATGGTTGTTAAATATAACTATTTTTCCCTTATGTCGATAATTTAATTTTGGACATTCACCAATACAATAATGATATAAATAAAATAAAAAAGCGCCATTTAACTGCAACCTTTTCTAAAAAACTGTGTAATAAATATTCAATTAATTACAACCACCTATATCGAATAAATTGTGTTTCTTAAAATAATTATTAGTTTAAATATTTTATTGTTCATTTAATTGAAATCAGATAGAATTGATATAAAAACATTAACAAAATAGTACATCAATATTAATATGTCATAAATACATGGACCGTAGCAACATTGCTTGTTAATAGCATTAACAGTTAATCTAAATAGGGTGAATCTAATGCACCAAAACCAGCAGCTATACCACATTCATCTGAATCTGCTTTCTTGCTGCGTAAAAGATGTCCCGCAAATTCATTGACATAGGTATTCTTCTTATTACTACAAGACAAAAAAAAAAACAGAACATCAGTTGGAAACCAATGATATGATTTAAGTAATAAACAGCTATTAAATTTGTTCAGATTAGTGTAAAGCTAGGTATTATCATATATATATATAAGTTAAAAATAGACATAGAAAATAAAGATTAATGAAAAGAGAAGAAGAAAAATAATTAAAATAAAATATTTAAAAAAAGAAAATAAATTAAAAAGCTGGAAAACAAAAAAATGAAAAGATATAATCCCGTCTTCAGCTCACACAATTATATCTGCAATAAGGAGTGCTTTCTAATATTATATAAATATAGTCAAAGCAAAATATATCAATACAATAGTGGGGGGGAAAAAATTTAAACAAAATAGAACATATTAAGCCAAAAATATATATAACAGAAAATAAAAAAAATGTAAAGAAAAAACAGAATAAAACACAAAACGAAATCTATAAAGCGAGTAGCGTATTCAAATGAACTTACATGTAAGGGAAACCTCCAAGAATGATTTAAAGTATTTTCGTAATAAGATTGTCAAATTACAAAATATGAAAACAGAAACGCTTTCTTTATGGTGCGTTCTTACTGCAGAACTGAATTTTTGGGTACCAAGGATTGGCCCAAAAATGGATGTGCACAAGGTAATAATATTATACTGGATAATTTAAAGAAGTTTATAATTAATAAGGTTGATATTTAATTATACAATTTTAATGGTTTTAGAAAATTAACAGCTATTTTTTAAAAAAAAGGGAGAGAGAGACATGTTTGCCCTTTTGAACAGATTTTTAGCCGCGGATTTGCCCGAATTGGATTTGCACATGGTAAAAATATAAATAAACAAAGTAGTTTTTGATAAATTTATTAATGATAACATACAATTAACTCAATGATTTTATATAGAATTTAATTACTTTAGTTGAGTATCCATTGTTTTTTTTTCATCAAATTTTAAAAGAGTTAGTCTATTTGTTTTTTGGATAAATAAACATTACGACTTATTCTTTTAATTCTATTTATTTGATTACAAATGGTATTTAAATAGATGTTTTTAGAAACATTAGAATTCCAAGCAATTAGTTTATTAACATTAAAAACATTTCTTTTATCATATAAATCAACAAAACAGATATTTTCTTCTCTTTTAATGCCCAAATCTTTATACAAAATAAAATGATTTTAAAATTGTTAAAAAAATATATTTATTAAATCTTTTTTTAAAAAAAAACTAGTCCTAAAGAAAATACTAAGATGAGAAATTTAAAATTCATTGGCTGAAAATTATTGAATATTGCAAAATTATGAGTTCTAACACATATTGGGAGCAGTGCTTCCTACTATATATTTTTCAGTTATTATCAAAGCAGGAACTAAATTAAAATCAATCCTAGACACTATATTACATTAGTACACAAATATAGGAAGAATTATGTACTAATTATTTCTAATAAATACTATAATTAGAAAAACTTGTGGAATTTAAGTGTTTCCCAAAAACAAATGTTGGAGGAATTTTTGTATAAAATGTTTCACTTAGTAAGTTTAGGCCAATCTAATTTTTAATTTTTGTTTTAATATTAACAAAAAGTACTTTTTTCACAATTAAAAATGTGAATAATCAATAGAAATATTTTTAGTTTAAAATTTATACTAGTAATCAATTTGCTTAATATAAGTTTTTAATTAGGGTATGCAAATTTATGATATCATAATAATCTTCTAACTTAAATAACCTATCTTTATAAATTAACCTATTGTAAAATAATGAAATGGTAAATCATGGTGCGTAGCCAAACCTTTCAACAAAAAATAAGTACTTTTTAAGCACAATAATTTTTTGCAAAATAATTTTGTAAGACTTTACATGATCATTATAAAATAACTAGTTTCTGACAAAGAAATCTTTTTCTTGATTATATTATCCACCATCGCGAGATTTATCGGTTCGATAGCAGAGGTTGGAAAATGAAGCTTGAAATTCAGAATATCTTGCAAAACACAGCAGAGTTGCACATGAGAGTGCAATAATCTCACCAAATCCAGGTCAGTAACCGCACATGTGGACTCACGAGTATTTAATCAAACATGTAAAATGATTGGCACTTTCATACGGTATGGACCAACGGTACACCGAAATGGATTGTGATTGAATGAATTGTGTTAATGTTTAATAGAACAATGTGAAAAGCATGCTTTTGCATAATACATGGCAAAAATCCTCACGGTTAAAGAAAAAAAATCTCATTTTCGAAAAGGGAAAATTAATCACGTTTTAAAACCCAATGAGAAAACACCTTTCATGGCTTTTTAAAAACCGAAAATGGAAAATAAGCACCTTTAAGCACTTTTTAAAAACGTTATGCACCATGTAAATGCTAATTCATTTATAGAATACAAATCAAACTTTTAACTCAACTGCATAGAAAAGTTTATGAAAATTAAAATAAAAACTTTTAAAAAACAAGGCTAAAATTTTAATTATTATTAGGAAAAACGAATATTAAACCATACATACCCTAATACTACTCCAAAAATTCCTAACTCTGCAATCACATTTGTGATTTCTGGAGGTTGGTTTCTTTGAATAATACAATTAGGAATAGATGGTGGATTTATTCGCTCCATTAAAATGTAAGCATTTCTTTCCTCAGATGATTTTATATTTTCTAGAAATTCTTTTATCTCAGTTCCATATAGATTATTACCTAAAAAAAATTTAAATTTTTAATAAAGAAAATCGTATTGTGGTTTTTAAGTTTTAAGAAAACTACAATTTAATTAAATGAGTTTTGATTTTCTAGTGGAAAAAAATTAATATTAGTAAAAGATAACAACCTCCACCCTCTCTTTCTGGTTTCAATACAAATTTTTCAGGATTTTCAATTGCCATTTTAATTGCTTCATCTCCATCTGAACCCTATAATAAAATTTCTGTGACTAAATTTAATATTAACAGAATCTGTAAATACAATAAAACACAAAAATTAAATGGAAATGTTTGTAGTGCAAAATAGACGAAAAAATAATTTCAAATAATAAAGAGATTTTTATAAACATATTAAATTACATAAAAATAAAACTATTAGGGGTTGACTTCGAAAAAGCAGTTTAATAAATAAAAATAAAGAACAAATAACATAACATAGAGAATAAATAAAAATAAAGAGAATGAAAATGAACCACTGTGGAATTTTATTTTAAGTTACTGTTCAAATGCATGCAGATAATAATAAATGTTCTCATATTTTAAAACTGAAAAGCAAAAGGAAATCATTGTATACATTATTAAAAATAAATAGTAAAGTTACGTATAATTATGTACATATAGAAATAATAGTAGTAGATAGTTGAGAAATCAAGAACTAAAAATGATTAGCATATTGCAAAACATTAAACTGAGAATATAAAAAAAATGTGCCATAAAATGATACAAATAAAAAAAAAGCAATGAGTAAGAAATAAAATCAAATTATTATACATTAAATTTTAGTACACATCTTTCCAAACAGTTTACATGATGATAATTTCTTGATTAGTCTCTNTGCCGATATAGGCGTTAAATCGATATGTCGCGATATATCGATTTATAGCCCAGTCCTACTCATGACTTCTAAATGCTTACAGAATTTCGTGAGTTTTATGGAGATGAAAAAAAAAGGAATAAGATGCTTAAATACTACACAATACACATTCTGTTAAAATTCTTGTAAGCTAAAACTTTTAATGAGTCAGAAAAGAGCGATTTTTTTTTATGTTAAATTGAGGATTGATATTTTTATTCACAACTTACTTAAATTTATTAACTAAAAACAAATAATAAAATATAACAGAAATTTTTTACATCAATTGAAGTTCCATAATTCATTAAGCAAAGATTAAAAATAGTTATAAAACTGCATACTTTTTATCATTTAATTAACTTATAATTTTAAATTGCAGCATTTTATTTTAATATTTCTTTTATACATCTATGAACACAAATGAAAATCAGACAGTTGGATATACTTAAGAGTAATATGATATCAACAAAACATAGTACATTTTGATAGAAAATAAATAAATAAATATAACAAATTTGTGTAAATTGACGGTTTGAATAATTGTATCTTAAACCTTGCCAACAACTCTGGTTAAAAGGCTCATTGAAAGAAACAAATTACACAATAAATGAATTTTGGAGATGTTTGCGGATATTTGTGGTTACAGGAAAACAAAAATCGATACTATTTTCAAAGACTAAATGTAGAGTTAAATTTTATAACACGAATAGAAGAACTACCACTATTTTTTAAGTATGTTACACTGAATAATGAAAAATTGTTTTTAATGATTCTTTATTTAATACAAAATGTGATTCAGTGTGTGTTTTCAGTGATTCTGCTTATGTGCTGTAGTAGGTTAAATACATCAAAAATAGCAAAAGGAACATGAAAAAAAAAAATTTTTTTTAAAGTATAATTGATACAAAAAATAGCACACCAACAGATTTATGTAGGACAAAAAAAAACTAATTAAATAAATAAAAATACACTTTTTTCTGCATGAATTGTAGATGAAAATGAAAATTATTCTGAGTAGCTAATTACATACCTGCTGTTCCTTGAGGCAAGCATTTGATCAGTTCTAATTAAAAACCATGATTTCAAATGTTAAAAAAAAAAACTTTATTGTTTTCAAATTCATTGTTTTGTGTATAAATGGGAGGAATCTTTGTAAATATGCATAATAATATATGGGTAAAGAGATGGAGAATGCATTATCCACTCAATATCACAAATAATTTTTTTTTATTGTTAAACTTTACTTGAAGTGCAATATTATTTCATTTCATGTAAAAGTTAGTAATTTTTGAACAGATAGAATGTTTTAAATAATTTATATAATTTCGGATAGGGATTGGCTTCTAGTAAAAACTGACCCAGAAATTTGTTTGAAATTAGTTCCTAGATTCCAAGGGCCTGTAGTTTCCAAATTCTAGCAGAATCACTGCTTGAGGGTGTGTTAATATTCCAGTATTGATATTTATTTGAGCAACCACCTCTTTTAACAATCATTTCAAAGCAGAATGAAAGGTAGTGGCTCCCAGAAAATTTAACTATAGTGCTAAATTTTGCACTATATTACTTTTACTTATATTAACCAGCGTACTGCATCATAAGAAAGAAAACAGTATCCCCAATTAAATACCAGTGGAGACACCACTTTCATATGCATTTTGAGATGCATTTGACAGTATAATATTTCTTAGTTCAATAAAAATAAATTTGAAATTTAATTGCTCATTTATAACTGCTTGCTATATCATAAATAAGCTTATTACATAAGTAATTTATAATACTTAAATTTATTGACAGCAAAAATTAATGACTTAGTTGAGAGTAATGTATTTTAAAATTTTGCTCAAAATCATTATTATGTGGATTATAATGCTTACCATTTCTAGAGAATATTGATTAGCAAAAACTTCTCTAATTTCATCAGCTATATTTGATTCGACATACTTTTCTAAAACTCCAGGTCGAGTTAAATATGCCTGAACCTTCTTTGTACCAGCTAAATGTAATCCAGCTGAAGGGCATTTTATGGCGTGAGATTGCTCCATTAAAAGCCGAATTTCCCAATCCTATAAAATCAAAAAGAACTTAAAATTCGAATAATTTATGGAGAATTTTATTATATGTACTAAATGTAAAAAAATTAACATAATAAGTGAAAGCTCAAAAAAGCAGTTACTTAATTTGAAAAATAGAATAATGCATTAGTAAATTGATTTAAAATATTTTTATTCAAATAAAACAAAGATTCACTATTTGATCAACTCAACAATTAATTAACATTTGAGCAGGTTTTAATATACATTTATTTCTCGGTTATATTCATTGAGCATTTTCAGTAGAAAATAGATAAGACAGAATTTGTTTTCGTTTTTATATAAAAAAATAAAAAAAAGAATGGTTATAATAATAGAACCAGAAATTTGAAAAAGGAAATGAATGCAAAAAGATAAATTTTTTTTCTTTTTGAAATAATAAGTAACTATACAGATTCACTGAGTCAGAACTGGTTAATGATGAGGCATAACAGCGAAAATGTCTGTACAGTAATGCCCGGTCAAGAATAAAAGACAAGTAACGTGCAAAAAGTTTGAAATTTATTTTGTAACCTGAAATAACTTAAATATATTCCCCTTTCAAATAGAAAATTAAATTGATAGTAGTTCATTTATTGGTATGGTATTTTAGCAAGACATATTTCATATATTAGTAAGGAGTTGTATGTATTTTAATTTTTTAATAAGTAAAAAAATTTTTTATAAACAATAGTTTAATATTAAATGAGAAGGGTAACCAAAGCGTATGTCAGTGCTAAAAAAATATAACAATAAAAAAATTTAATAATACAGTCAAATTTAAAGTAAAAATCATAAATATTAAAAAATAACAGTTATGTTAGCTTAAGTTATAAAAAATAACAGTTATATTAGCTTAATTGTTATTTTTAGCCTCTAATAAGATTTAATAATGAAAAAGTGTCCATGAATAATCATTCAAATTTTTAAAAAAAAACTTAACTTAAAAGTGCTGACATATTCAGCACACTAGAAGTTTTAAACCAAATTTACTATCATATTCAAAAGTAATTTTAGTTGCTTAATGAGTATAGCTCTTCATAGTGCTGTATGTTATAAAGAACCAATGACGAGTTATAAAAGTAATTTTCCTGGAAGAAGTTAAAAACTACTTCCATACTTTAAAAAACATTTTATAAATCCTTAACAACTACTTTTTAAGGTTTAAATCAAGTAATGGTAATGATAGCAAAATAATAGAAACCTCAGCTTCATATTGATCAGGAACATATCCAGTTCTATAGTATACCACAGCAACTTCTTTATCTTTTCTAAAAATAATAAAATACTTTTCATTATTTTAGAAATATTGCACAAACATCTCTGTAGAATTAAAATAAGATTTTTAAAACATTATATACAACTCAGGATTTCTTTTTTTAAAGGAAAAGTTGAAGTCAATCAACAAATAAAAGAAATAAATTATAAAAATAAAAAACTACACTTGCTTCTCTTGAAGAGTTTGGAGCAATAAAATGATAAGCCAAATTTCAAATTTATTCAGGAGAGCATTTTGGTGCAAAACACAATTTCTAGGTATGTAAAAATATGATTTTGTTTATTGTGCTGTTATAGAGGATATTTCCGAAACTTAAAAAATACCTACCTGTCTGGAAACAATACCAACATTTTTACCAACAGTTTGGTGTAAAGAAATGTCACTTTTACAAAAGTGCTGCTTATCCATATAATGTTCCAAGCCCTTTATTTCAATATAGTAATATATTATGTTTTTTCAATAAATTTCAATTTGTATAGTAACCATTTTCATTTTTGGTTGTTTTTACCAAAAATTAACTAGAAAAAAAACTAAACAAAACAGATTTCATAAAAAACTTATCCATAGAAAATTCATTCATTTAACTATAAGAAATATAAATATGTAAACATGTGTGTATCAGTATGTAACTTTAGAGATTTTTTAATTTTCATGCAACAAAAGAATCATTCGAATAAAGAAAGATAAAATTTCTACTTATTATTTACCAGATATTGAGTACTAAGAAAAAAACTTGAAGAAAACAGGTTTAATAGAAAACTTATTCATAGAAAATGCCTTAATTTACCTATAAAAAAAAACTCAAGCTTGCATTACATAGACTTATGTGTATTAGTATGGGAACTTCAGGGATCTTTTAATTTTCATACATTAAAAAAAATCATTCGAATAAAAGAGGAAAATTTCCTGAACTCATTTACAAGATAATGAGTGTTTTAAAAAAAAGTGAGTTACATCATTAAGTGCATGAAAATATCAATTTCAAGTTTGTTTTAAATACACCTGAGAAACTATTAACAAATTTATTAGCTACCTTATTTTATTACTTAATTTTTATTTTAAAAATCAAATTTATAAATTCCTTTTATTTTTCAATTAGTCTTATTTGCTCAAAAACATATTTAAGGAATTATGACTTAAAAGAAATTCAAGCTGTTATTAAGAGTTTAGCACTTTAATTACCCTTATCAATAAGAATCATTCAAAATCTTATGCAATTACATACTTATACAAGAAAAAAAAATCACTTGATATTCAATAACCACATATTAATTACTGGCTTACACGTATAGTTTGTTTTCCTTCAAACAAGCCGCTTTCCTCAGTTCTTTAAATGTACAGCGCATGACTTCGATTTTATTTTCAATATCCAAGATGGCATATTCAAGACCTCTTTGATCACTTATATTTAAAGTTTCGTCCTCAACTACAAACAAGACAATAGCACTGAAAATCAACAAAATATTAGCACACCAAAATAAAAGATTTTAAAAACTGTAGAAAGTATAAAACAGAAGATAAAGTATAGCAGATTTCTTTAAGGACATCTGTTAAGAGGACAGTTATGGGATACAAACTATTTAAGAATGGTCAAAAGTTTACAAAACTTTTTAGGGAAGAAACAAGATATAATGATAAAATATATTTATAGATTTATTTTTAAAATACCAAGTTTTGCATAAATTAAAAATATGTAATCCTACTAATAGACAAAAAGATATTTTTGTAAAAAAACATTTATATAGATTATATAATATAAATATATATAATGAATACTCTCAGTTTAGTTAGCAATACTTTGATTTAGCATGTACTTTAAACTATGACTATATCTGTACTTTTAGTGTAATTACTGTTGCATTATTAGATTACATAGACTATAAGTTATTATTCAAAAATTTCTGTTCAATTTTATTTTAAAATTTTTTAATTCAATTATATATATAATTTTATGAGAAAAGGTATACAAATATAATACTTTTGTAGCATCAATAAAAAACAAATATTTTTTTATTATACTAATGATGTTTGTTTTTATTTTTTCTAAATATGGAATTATTGTGAATATTTTATGATATTCTAAAAATTACACTTGTTTCTCAAATTGTTTTTTATTTTTTAAGAAATGAGTTTTTAAGTTTTTACCACATTTGGTGAAATGCTTAAAAAAACTGCTGTGAATTAATATCAAAAGAATTCGTAATTGTTTCAAATTTTCGAAAAAGTGGTCACTGTTATAAATACTAGGACTGCCAACTGCTCAGTAGCAAAACTTCCTAGTTTTGCCCTTGAGTATTAACACTTTGACTTAAAGCTATTTCCCATCACAATATTCTGAACAATTATTTGGACCAAAAGGTGTCTTTTCATATCGTTATGTTTACATGAAGTGATTGTGAAAACTGTAGAGATTACAAATTTTCCATTAAATATAGATAATTTGAGCATGATAATTTTTGATACATTTGACATCATAAAATCAAATTAACAAAGTATGAAAAGACAAAAAATTTATTGCAAATAAATAATTAAACTAAAAATGGAGCTAAAATTCTATTTCTAAGTTTAAGATTAATTAAGGTATTATATTGGCTGTGGATCTGAGTTTTAATAAAATGTCGTGAATGAAAAAAGAAATTTTTTTTGTAAATAAATTATCGAAAACGTGACTCACTTCTGGCATTCATAATGATCCCAAGCGGAAACTATGCCTTTCGCTATATCCTTGCAAGACTCATTCAAAGGTAGCTGAAACAATTTACACAATATGTAAATTAATGTCATCATATAACAAATGTAATGATTATGTAAAGTTTTAAAAAAATTATTTTTTAATGCAAAAAAATATTAAAAACATTTAAAATGCTATTCATATTTTGATACATAACTTTCTCACAAATAATAATAATAAACCATGAATCTGGTCAAAACTTGAAAGTGAGAAAAAAAAGTAAAAATACTGGATTTTGCTAGATTAAGAATGGCAAATGTGATATGGTATAATAGAGCTAAAAGTGAGAGAGATTTCAGGTTATTTTTTCTTTTCTTTTCAAATACTGAACATAAATATGTTAATTTAATAAAAATGAAATAAATTATTTGATCAATATTAACTAAATTATGATATTACTAACTAAATTATGATATTTATTTCAAATAAAACACATGCATCAAAATTTGGAAACAAATGAAAAAGAATTTTTAAAATAAAAATGCATTGAAAAAAAAAAATTGTGAGAAAAAAAAAAGCTAGTATGGATGATAACCAAAAAAATTAAAAAGATGTAAAAACAAGAATATAAATTCATACTTTATGATCAAATCCCTTTTGACCTAACCTTTCTAAAATGAACCTAAAAAATGAGAGAAAGGAAAAAGTTCTAAACAATAGAATTTTAAAAACACATGACAAAAAAAAGAGAAAATAATTTTACAAATAGTATTATGTAAAATCCAATCTAGAAACATAAAAAACTCACTCATGTAATTCTTTGATTGTTGGTGCTAAACCACCAAAAGAAGCTGAAATTGTATTGTTTTCCACCTGCTTGATACCAGTAACTTTTTCGTCAGAGTCAGCATGCAAAAGATAGTCAGATCGAATTATTCCCATAACTGTTTGCTACACAATGTTACAAAATGGTCTAAAATTAGTTAATACTAAAAAAGATGATGGTGAAGTCAATAATAATAATTGCATTGTATTATTTAATGCAATAATAATTACATTAAATAACACAAAACTACTATTAAATTTATATAAAATATTTAGAACAATTGAAAAGACTTAATATAAAAGATTAAATTCACAGATCAAGATCACAAAATTAGCATCAATTAGTTTTAAAATATACAAATTTAGTAAAACAAAACTAACTTCTTTATTTTCAACGGCCTCATAGATTTTAAAGATGTTGTGAGTAAACTCATCAGCTTCAATTGTGCTAATTCCGAAAATAAAACAAAATCATTTATAGCTAAAAATAAAACTCAAATATAGTAAAAACAGAAAATTATTTTACTCCAAATACTAATTAATGATGTTTTGAAAAATTTGACGAAGCAAAATATAATTAGTTTTAAAAAGAAACAATTTTCAAATCTGGTTTTTCAGGAATTACTAGAAATTGAGCAAGTGCAACTTTTAAAGTATGTTGTTTCTTGAAGAATTTATTGATCAAAATTGTATAAATTCTAATACTAGTTTAACAATATGTGACAATTTTTCACCTACAACTTCTTTTTTCTTGAAATATTGTTCAAATTGCTAAGACATAAGATAAAATAAACAAAAATATTTAAATTGCAAGTATATTTACAAACAAAGTTAGAAGTTAAGAGATAAAACATAGAAAAATTTTAATCTAATTATTTTTATAATTATTGAAAAAATTAGCCTTGAAGTAATGTTTAGCAAGATAAAGCCTTTGACTCATTTTAACAATTTTCATTTTTAATCATAATTCATTAAAATATTATTGAAACATCAAGTTAAAACTTATAAGGGCAAAATGTAATTTATATTAGCATGACATTTAAAAAATCAAACATAAAAATGTTGTAGGGATTAGGTATAGGAATAATAAAGCTTTTGATGGATAGAACTATTTTGCAGCTTACACAAAAACAGAAGACTGCTCTTCCAAGTTTATAGGCTTAAGGGAAAAAAATTATCAAATTCACTGATACAATTAAATTAAATATTGATTTAAGAATGTATTATAATAGCAAACCTACAACAAAATACTATAAACTTTATCTCATACTTCAGTTAAGAGAATTTTGCAATTGGTGAACATTATTATCAGTAGGTTACCTTCTTATAATCTAGAATAATTCAATTAAAAAAATAGATGAAAACTGCATATATATATTTAAACTAACAAAGCCACATAAATCATAAAAATTTTTGTAAGAATACTATTCTAAAAATGTGACTACAATCATAACAAATCTAACTTTTAAGCATTACCATGCTTTGATAACCTGTTTGCATAATTTCTTTTATGCTCTTACCAAATGTCGCTTTTATCACTGACCATTCCATATGGGATGGCTGAGATACAAGAACATTTTGCAAAAAGATATTCATAAAAAGGATTTGCCTTAGCTATGAATTTTATAATTAATGCTTAGAGAATATTTCTTTACTACAAGAATATTTCTTCTTAGCTTAATTAAAAACCTTTTTAAAAGATTTTCTGATAGAGAATACATGGTTCAAAAGGTATTTTATTGCAACAGAACATAATAAATTTGAAAACAGTTTACCTTTCCTTTAAAAATATGTAGACTACACAGACACAGGATTTTATTACGAAGTTAAAAGTGTTATGAAATTTTACACAAGAATAAACACTAGTTACAGGTTTGAAAACAAAAAATTTTTTTAGCTAAATCAATGACTTAAAAAAAATTTATATATACATAAATATCATGATTTAAATCACAATTTTAATTGCAATTTAATTAAAAGCAAATTTAAATCGGTGCCCCTATGAATCTCTTTTTGCAGATTTGCATCATAACATATACAACTTACAGTTTTTACACTGTAAGTCTCATTTTGGGAATTGACAATCATAGCTAAATATTAGATTTCTAAACTGTTTAAATAAAGTATTGAATCTAAGCAATTTAATGAAAGCAAAATACATAAATGTTGAACATTACTTTGATAAGCATTCCATTAAGATTTCCTTTGAAAATGATACTTTAAGCAATATGGAATTAATATAAGTCTGAAGCCTATATACTTTGTTAAAATATACTTCTGAAAAGAAGGATGGAAGTAAGCAAAATGAAAGAGGAACTCTACAATCTTTGGGCAAATCTAACGTCCGCTGTGATACTCCTAAAAGAAAATATAATAAAAAATGTATCATTTCATACTATCTAAATATATAATAGTATAATAATAAATAACAGTATAATAAATAGTTGCTCATAAAAGAAGATAGTCTAATTCCACTCAGAAATATCCAAAAGATTGTTTTTAAACCAACTGTAACTCTAATTAACAAAAGCAGGCCTTAGATTTTAACAAATCTTGAGCTAAACAAATTATAAGAGACTGTTTGCTTTATTGCTCTATATGATAATTTTTTTTTACAGAAAGTGATACAAATAATAAATTTGTTGCATAAAAAATATAATTTGTTAAATGCTAATTATATTATATAATAAACTAGGGGTCTGCCCAGACATTTTGTGAAAGGTCCTGTTTTTGTAAAATTTTAAAAAAACTATTCATAATTTCTGAATATAAAATAAGCAATTATAAGTCACATTCTTTCAACCAGGGTCCTGCTTTTATGAATTTGAGCAAATAGGGTCCTGTTATTGCAAAATTACTAAAAACCCTTTCAAGATGTTTTTAAATTGTAAATAGATATGAGATTCAGCTCAACAATTGCTGCTACTAAATCAGAGATGCAACATACAAATATTTGGTATTTAGCCTATATTTCTCAACACAGAATATTCATTTTGGATGAATAATGGAAACAAAATCACTCAGATTTTTAATAATATCAATTTACATATTTTAAATTACACAGCTTAGTAATGTATCACTTTTAATGTGTTACGCATTAAGTAAACTTAAACAATTCTTAAATTTATAATATTTNATAATACAATTTAAATGCAATCTAAAAAAAGCTTGTTCCTACAAAAGTTTTTAGTCATAAACCAATCGCAAAAGTAAAATTCAAATGCTATGCAAATTAATTAATTTTAATGCTATGCAAACAAGGTGTCATGGTTTATAATACAATTTAAATGCAATCTAAAAAAAGCTTGTTCCTACAAAAGTTTTTAGTAATAAACCAATCGCAAAAGTAAAATTCAAATTGCCTAGTATTTAAACATTTCATTGAAGAAAATTGACTTGTTATGGAGGATCAAATAAATTATAAAGTACAGAATTACCTTTCATTAATGCATAATCTTTAGCATCCTGGGAAAGTGAAGATAAGTTATCATCACATATCCCATATCTTGCTTTAAGAATATGATGCTCCATTATGTAATTAATTATTTAAATTTTGTTATAAGATTGAACTGTAAAATTATAAATTAAAAAATTCAAATCAGCAACAAAAATTGACGATTTATTAAAACAGAAATACAAAAATCTGCGCAAGAAATGTAGCGGAACAACAACTTTTGAAATCGGTGGAAAACCAAAATAAACAGAGAGCAGAACACTACACTGAATCTACCGGTTACGATTAAGTTTGCTCATTTCATTTCATCATAGGACTTCATATTTTAATTAAACGACTAATGCGCTACCTTGTGGAAATTTGGTAAAACTACAAAAGAGGTTGTTCCATTTATAGAGGGGTGTATCTGGTGAAAGAACTTGTATTTAACCTGATGGCTAGAGTTATAATTTCTTATTGCTGCTTTGTAAATTAGATTTCTTTCAAATAAATGTCATTAATAATGCCTTTGAAAGATTCTTTGTTTCTTAAACCATATATTACATTAAAAAAAAGAACTTATCATTGACTTACGAAAAGAAAAAAATGTGAGAATTATCTTTGACTTTTCATTTGCATAATTGCATTACATAAAAAAATTAGCGAAAACAATTGGTGTTAAAAATTGGAAAGGTATTTTTTACTCAGCTGAAATTTTTGTAAAATTTGAAATCAGATGGAAAAAAAATATGAGATTCAGTTTACAAAAATAAAAGCATTGTTACGATATTTAAAAATGTCCCAGTGGTTAAATTCAAAGCTGTATTTTTTACAAATTTCAAATGCTCTTAACATTTTGTGAAACACTTCTTAAACGCTCTACCGCCTACTTGACGCCATGGCTGATCTCAATGAGCTTTCTCGAATGTAAAGATAATTGATCTCTGATGTCATTTTGTGAAACACTGGGTGAGTAAAAAAAATCTCGATAAACTATTAAAAATTTACCTTTTTCTGACAATTACTTTGATAAGCATTCCATTAAGATTTCCTTTGAAAATGATACTTTAAGCAATATGGAATTAATATAAGTCTGAAGCTTATATACTTTGTTAAAATAAACTTCTGAAAAGAAGGATGGAAGTAAGCAAAATGAAAGAGGAACTCTACAATCCTTGGGCAAATCTAATGTTCGCTGTGATATTCCTAAAAGAAAATATAATAATATATTTATCATTTTATACTATCTAAATAATTTTATAAAATAAATAACATCAATAAATGCACATGCATGATAACTGAGAATTATTTAATCAAGTTTATTAAGGGAACATATTAAATTGCAGAAATATATAACAGAGTTCTGTTGCTTGTAAATGCCTTCTAGCATTTTCATAGATAAACATTTAACATGTGTGTAAGTAGTTGCTCATGAAAGAAGATTGTCTAATTCTACTCAGAAATATCCAAAAGATTGTTTTCAAACCAACTGTAACTCTAATCAACAGGAGCAGGCCTTAGGTTTTAACGAATCTTGAGCTAAACAAATTGTAAGAGACTTTATATCGCTCTGTATACTTAATTTTTTTTACAGAAAGTGATACAAATATAAAATTTGCTGCATAAAAAATATAATGCATTAAATGACAATTGTATTCTATAATAATTAACTAATAATTGTAAAAATAACTGTTATAATAATTAATAAAAAAATTACAAATTCTTCCAAACTTAAGCTTTAATCAACTTTAATGAATTTATAAAACTTAACTATCACTGGCCAGTTTGTCTTTCCTGCGTACAATAGGTGAATCTTAAATAAATTGAAAAAGAAGAAATTTAGCAGATCTTACTCCAAGATAAACAGAAAAAAATTTAGGAAATTTGCCCCCAATTTTTGTCACAGTTGAATACTTTACTTCAAATAATTCAACTTTCAAAATAAATGGAACATAAGTGTACGTATTCTAGACCTTATTAATTTTTACATCAATGCAAATGATGCTATGCAAACAAAGTGCTCATGGTTTATAATACAATTTAAATGCTATCTAAAAAAAAGCTTGTTCCTACAAAAGATTTTAATAATAAACCAATCGCAAATTCGAATTGCCTAGTGCTTAAATATTTCATTGAAGAAACTTAACTTGTTATGGAGGATCAAATAAATTATAAATTACCTTTCATTAATGCATAATCTTTCGCATCCTGAGAAAGAGAAGATAAGTTATCATCACATATCCCATATCTTGCTTTAAGAATATGATGCTCCATTATGTAATTGCTTAAATTTTGTTATAAGATTGAATAGTAAAATTACAAATTAAAAAATTCAAATCAGTAACAAAAAAAGACGATTTATTAAAACAGAAATACAAAAATCTACGCAAGAAATGTAACGGAACAACAACTTTTGAAATTGGTGGAAAACCAAAATAAACAGAGAGCAGAACACTACAGCTGAATCTAACGGTTACGATTAAGTTTGCTCATTTTATTTCATCATATTTTTGTTAAATGACTAATGCGCTACCTTGTGGGAATTCGATAAAACTACAAAAGAGGTTGTTCCATTTAGGGAGTGTATCTGGTGAAAGAACTTGTATTTGATAGCTAGTTAAAATTTCACATTGAAAGGTTCATTGATTTTTAAATCGTATATTACACTAAAAAAGGAACTTATCATTTATTTACGAAAGGAAAAAAATGTGAGAATTATCTTGGACTTTTCCTTTACATATTTGCATTGTATGAAAAAAATCAACGAAAACAATTGATGCTAAAAACTGGAAAGATATTTTTTACTCAGCAAAAATTTTTGCAAAATTTGAAATAAAACGACAGTTTGCGAAAAATAAAAGTATTGTTTTGATATTTTATTTTATAACCGTCGATGAACAGCCGACCCAATTTTATGGGTTTACGACTACTAATGTTCAACTCTGTAGCCTTTTAGTTTTGAACCTAATCCAGAAAGGCAAGTGAACTCCTGGATCGAGTATTGGCAAACATTTGCCTTCGTGGAGGACTTTTTGATGGAGCTAATCCACATTTGCGTTACATGTAGAGGAAAACCACGAGAACCTCCTTCGCTTAGCCCGACGGTTAGCTCTAACACATGATCCGTCTACCTTTGAGGATATTTCAAGTCAGCACTGTGGTCGGCACAAGCCGGATGCGGAATTCGTATCGACTGGGATTTGAATCCGGTTCGCCGCTTTGGAAGGCGAAAGCTCCATCCCCTGAGCCATCACGGTTCTTATGATATCTAAAAAATGTCCCAGTGGTTAAATTGAAAGCTGTATTTTTTACAAATACTCTTAACATTTTGTGAAACACTTCTTCAAACGCACTACTGTCTTCTTAACGCCAAGGCTGATCTCAATAGGCTTTCTCGAATGTAAAGATAATTGATCTCTGATGTCATTTAGTAAAACTCTGGGTGAGTAAAATAAATCTCAATAAACTATTAAAAATTTATATTTTGCCGACATAAAATATCCCTAACATATAAAGCGAATGCAGTAGGAAAAAAATTATCCACGAGTATTTTTATAAAAAACGTAGAACAGAATATACCTGAGTAAAATGAAGTAGCTATAATTAAATAGTTATATTTGATTATGTTTTTACGTAGAGACATTTGTCAGAGAATCTCTCATCACAAAAATTCTCAGATATTTTTTTTTTAGTTCACAATTGTGGTTCAATTTATAGTAATTTCGAAGTCATGTTCAATAAAGAACAGTTTTGCATGAATTTCTTACTTCTATATTTATTCACTAATATGATGGTGACATAGTGAAGCTAAATTTTGGAAAGTTTGTTGACAACTGTTAAAAAGGAAGTCCAAACACAGAATGGATTGATTTTGCAAAAAAAAATTATAGGCATCAACAGATGGAGAAGCTAAGTATCCGATAGCGCTAAATGGAAACCACTTGCTCGGACAGCTCCGGCCTGTACTAGGCTGTCAGGCTGAAGGATGTTCATTCATTTTAAATGAGACACAATTCGTACTGTACCTTGCTTTTTGCAGGCCAGTAATTCTTTGCATCCACTAATAAACAATTTTTCTCTTACCTCTCAAAAATATCACATGTAAAAGTATACTTTACTTTTTAAAAATTGATTCAAACAATTTTGAAGTGAAAGGGAAGTACAATGCATTTTATATCCTCTTGAAATATTTAAATTGTCAAAACTTAAAATAATTTGCTATGAAAAATTTTTTGTGATAAATAAAAGTTCAAAAATTGATTTTTTTCTAATTCTTATTAATAGAAATATTTCATAAAATTTTATAACTTTTAGACTTTGACATTTAAAACTTCACAGTACTCACCTTATTCCGGTTCTCTACGGTAGGGGCAGTATTTTCACAGGTTGTTTCAACTTCCAGTAGAAAATTCAGGTAGAAGAATTTTTGTAAACTAAATTACGTAAATCCACATCTCAATGATCAGGTGATTGCAAATTAATATAGGATAATTTACCAAAGTACTTTTTTTCATATCTTCATTTAATATTTTAAAATATGAAAAACAACACAAAAATTAAATTTAAACTGAGTATTCAGTGTATATACAAACAAATCCGGAACGTCAAAAAAGAAATAGTCACGTCAATGCTATGACACCAGAAGAGGACCTCAAGACTTCAAGTAGGGTTTGTTTGCTTGTGTTTTTAGAATAGACAGTGAATACAACCAATTTCAACCTCTTCAAACAAAACAAGCCTCATTCTGTTCTAAATATAAAATTCAAATTTTTGATATTGGCGTTGCATGTTTCATTATTTTTCTTGCTTTTATCAACCTTTCTAAAGTTAATTCTTAAAAGTCCTGACACATGGATTAATTAAAAATTTCTTTTGGATACCAGCGTTTTCAAAGATTTAACTATTGATTGTTCTACCAAAACTGAAATTATAGGAACCATATTTTCAGGGTCCGAATTCCATAGGGAAAAAAAGTATGTTTATTCAGAGAAAATGCATTTTGTACCCTGACTAAAAAAACATTAATTATTATCTGCCCTTATTAATTACAAGACCAAAAATATGTCAGGAAAAGAAATTGAATAAGGATCTGTGACTCAGAAGGCTCAGGCTCTTTATAAAACAAATCATAACTTCATTTCTAATAAAAAAAATTTTAAATATCAAACTTTTAACAATTTTAATGAATTTTCTTTTTTAAAAAATTGGAAGTTGTTAGAAATCTTTTAGGTATTCCTTTTTTACAACTAGCAAATTCTTTCTATCTTTCATAATCTACTTCAGCAGTCTTCATTTTAGTTTTTAAATATCATAAAAACAAATGGTTAATTGAAACAGCAAAACGAACAAAAAAGGCCCAGTAATATTGTCTAAGGCCCTAGCATATATTTGGTGGGCCTCTCAAATCAAAAAAATTGCATCTCAGTTGGCTAAAACCGAAACATTAGTTCATAAGTTAGTCTCCCCCATGTGTTACACCAATGGGTATGCACATAAAAGAGAAATGCTTTATTAAATGAAACATACCTGTATAGTTTTGTAGAAGTATTTCTCAGATATATTAGTATCATTATAAATAGAATAAAACTCTTAATCTATAAATATTTCCATTTTTTCTCCTTTTAAATTTATTTTCTAAATATCAGCAAAAAGTAATAGGCATGATCAAGGAATCGGAATGTGATAGATATTGTAATATGATTTACGTGGATATCAAATAATATTATACATTGAGTTGCTAAAAAAAAAATTAAAAAAACAGGACACTGGTGTTATCCAATTACTATTGTTACAACGAATACGAAATCTGGATGCAGGAAAATGGGAATAAGACAGAAATCAAAAGTGCACCATGGATTTCTTTCCTTCATGATATTGTATCATGATTTTTAAACTGTATTACAGTTACTACATATTTTTAATACTTTTACTTGTAGTTCAATATTTACACTTAAAATATTTGCAAGAGGGCCCACTGTTTGAAAAAATTTTAATTTCCCGACTTACCCCGGGCAACAAGGGTGTCCATTGATCAGGGTTATATTGTAAATGTTCATCACAAAAAAAAAGGAAGATTCGCGTAGGAATAAATTACTAATTTTAACTGTAATACACTTCAGGCCTGCAATCACTTCTCTTCATCAGCCTGGCACTGTTATATATAATTTTGTGTCTATATCAATTACTTAACTATCCCATTTAAATCCATTTCACATAAAATAATACATGTTGAAAAAATCTGACAAGACAGATAAATAAAAATTAATAAATTTAAATCAACGTCATGAGTACAAAAAACAAGGGATTAAATTGTTGTTTTTTTTATAGTAGTAACATCAGCAAAAGAGGGAAAACTGCAGTAAATTTCTGTGGTTAATGTAAAACACACCAATATTGAAAATGTTTATAATAGAAATTATAAATTAATAAGTTTCTAATCTTTTTTTTTTTAAATAGACCTTAAGAAGAAGAGTACAAAACCTTTTAACTAAGAAAAATATTCCATCCTTTTTATTATTATTTTTTATTAGAGTACAATATTCATAAAATGAAGTTTATAAATATATACCAATAGTTCAAATTTACAGAAACAGGAAAGTTAAACACATGTTTAATTAAATAAATATGCATGTGAACATTTTTCAAACCTGTAAGTTAAGACAAAATAAAAGATTTTATATAAAATTAAGTCAAAATTCAAAATAGTAAAACATTCTTTTAAAACATATATTACAACCACAAGAACTTGTCTATTAGTCAGGTTTCTGCATGAAATATTTACTCATTTGGATTCTGAATAACTATCATCATATATTCTTTATCTGAAAAAAAAAAAAAAGAAAACTTAAAATGTAGTTTAACACATTTATGCTAAATAATGCCAATTAAGATAAAATCAAAACTCTCAACCTTATATGAAAGAAAACCTTTACTATCCGTTTGTAACTAACATGCATTTTATAAAATACTTAAAAAAAGAAAAAAGTATTTTATTGAATATTAAAATTACCTCAATATGCACTGCTGAAATATTTGAATTGCAAATGCCGCTTCCACCAAATTTTTTCCACAAAAGTGTGTGTGGCAGTGTTTAATAACAAGACTATGATAGGCTCTAATAATTAAATTTTAATTACAAGATTATGATAGGCTCTAATAATTAAATTTTAATTACAAGACTATGATAGGCTCTAATAATTAAAATTTAATAACAAGACTTTGATAGGCTCTAATTATTAAATTCAAACTGTTTTCAGAAACTACAAGATGGGTGTTTGTGTATCAAAAGAATTTCAGTGCAAGACTTATTATCTGCAAGTAAGCTTTATAAGATGAAAAGATTTATGTGGAAAAAAAACTAAATACAAAATAAAAAGATTTTAGTCAGCATTTATAAACAAATTTTTGAGTTTCTCTCTCCAAAAAAATAACTATTTTGTCTCAATTTAGCTGATTATCGAGTCACATGGAGTGGATCTTGCATTAATAAATCTAGATTATTTAAGTTCTACTATATATTCTCAGCATATTAGTATTTTTAAATAAAATTTTATCCATTAAAAATATATAACTAAAATAACACAGAAAACAAAAATAATTAACTCATGAAATGATTATTAGAAATCAGTGCACAATTACATATGCCCAATCATAGACAATACAATCTTATAACTCCATTTGATGAATTATCTATTATAAATTTATTAGTCAGGTCTAAGAATATAACTAAGATTTAAACAACTTAAGACTAAAATGTAAAAAAGCAAACCCTTCAGTATCAGGTATTTTTTAAAATAGCTACATTAGAATACGTTATTATCTGAGATCTTAAGTATAAGGAATTTTTCCATTGAAAATTATTTTAAAAATTGTCTCTTAAATTATTATCTTGCTTCACCCCCTTTCTTTTGCAGTTAGAACCACAATATCTTTTATTCTAATTTCAAGCTAAAATTATAATGATACATGTTATGACAGTAATAATAGATTAATAGGGATGTATTATTACTAATTGAATACAAAAAAAAAATAATAAAATTAGTGAATAAATTGCAAAAAGTGTAAAAATTTTTGTATGAAATTTGATACTCTAATGCAGAGACATACAAGAAACATAAAAAAATTAAAGAAACATAATTTAAATTAATTAATTAGTAATTAAATGATTTAATTAGTAATTAAATGATTTAATTTTATTAATTAAAATAATTAATTTAATTTAATTAATTTCATTTTTAGTTTAAATTGAAAGAGATATATAAAGAGTAGATACAGCTGCTACAGCTTGAGATAATTTGAGACCTTGACATATTTTGATAGACAAAACATTGAAATATTTTGAGAAGTACAAAAAACTATAGGAAAGGAATTTACCAAAATCATAGTAAAAGAGAAATTAATTATTAACATGAGCATAGCTTATTGATTGAAAGTTATAAGATACAAATCTAATATTCATTTTTAATCCAAACTATATCTTGCAATTATCTATACTCATTTTTCTTAATACTTTTCCCTTTCATTTAACAATATTTTGCAATTTACCTATGAAACGCAATGAAGCAAATTTAATCTTTTAAGGAAGGACTTTAAGGAACTTTGAATAAAACATAAGTTTCTTTATGAAAAAATGTTTAACAAGAAAATGTTCAAGATAAAAAAAAAAAAAAAGTACAATAGTACAAAAAAAAAGTTAGCTTGGTACCAAATGAAAATACTTGTGCAAAATTGCTTGCTAAGTTGTTAAAGTATTAAAAAGTATAGTTACAAATATTCTAAAGAAATTTTCTACTATATACCTGCAGTGTAAACTGATTTTTTTTTCATTATAGCGTTTAACCTTTATGTTTTGTTTCAGTAAATTAAAAGAAATAAAAATAAATGTCCTCTCCAGTAAAATCTTTAGACACAATTTATTTATTTTTGCAATCTTTATCTGGTACTCAGCTAACAAACAAAATATTGAAAAAATAGTTATAAACATAAAATCAAAAGTCAAAACTTGAAAAGATAAGAATAAAAAATCTGCAGTTGATAATATCAAAAATGTAACTGAATAAGTTTATTCAGTTATAGAATTGAAAAAAAAAAGATTTCGATGACACATATGAATGATGCAGTTCCATTTCATGGGGCAGTGTAGAACAAAATTAAAAAAATAAATAAATAATAATGTTCAAAATTTTTATAATAAGGTGAATAAAACTATTTGTCTATTCGTAATTGCCTTAGGTCTAATATTGCTATAAAAATTATGAATGAAAGAGAAAATAATTATACCTGGAGCAATAAGTAATTCATTCTTTTTAGTTCTTATTCTGAGAAAAGTAAGCTCATTTGTATTATCCAGTTCTTTCACTGTCTGGCGAGCTTTATCTAGAAGATGTGTGATTAAGCCAGCATATTCAATGGTTGTGTTGCTATCCATAGATGATTTGATGGGAATTCCTGAAAAAATAAAAAAAAATTATCAGGATGTGTTTTTGACATTAAAAGCTATGGGCAACAACGTTGGTGTTGAAATCACATAGAGATAATATTTGTAATAAGTAACATATCGTTGAACTTTACTTTCCTTATTAAAATTCGTTCTTTTTTCTATTTTATTTACACATAAATCATTCAAAAAAATTACAGTTACTTAATTAAATTTCAAATCTTATACTTTAACCTAAGTGTGAAAAATGTGAAAACATAGCGTACTTATCTATTAGAGTTGTAAAAAAACATAGCGTACTTATCTATTAAAGAGAGTTGTAAAAAAACTATCACCATAGCACCTATTGCTTTCTTATATATAATACCTTTATTATTCTATTAGGAACCTATGAACCACAACATTTATTAATATTAGAAAAATACACAAAACCGATAGAATCTAATACCACAGTTAAATAAGCAAAACCGGCATCAGAAATTTTCTTGTGTGACAAATTTTTAATGCCCTTTAGCATATAGGGGAGAGTCGGGTAGCCCCGCCCACTGTCAAATTCATAAGGATAGAATATTTTTTCAAGTCAATGGGCCATCGGACATTAATTGTTATATTAAAAAAAGATTATTTTCAGAGTTTCAAGTATTTATGCAGCTGTTAATATGGTAAACAATAGTTTTTAAAATATGTTGAATACAGTAGTCATTAAATTAAGAAAAATTGGTTGAATATTTCGATTAAACTTCATTTTAATACTAAAAAAATTATTTTTTCTATACATACAGCATTAAAGTATGTAGTCTTAAGTTTAATTTGCACAAAGAAGGAAGTTATTATGTGAAAAATTATTTGAGTAATTACAAATTTACAAAAAAATTGGATTTCGGGTAGCCCCGCTCACACGAATGTCGGGTATCACCGCCCAATTTTATTTCATCGATAAGTGTATGGTTGCAAAGATTATAATTTTATTGCTTCAAATTTGAATGTTATATGCATTTTTAACAACAAATATTGTTGTTATTAAATGATAGAATTCACTAAAAGTATATAAATATGTAATAAATAAAATAATTTCGTGATAAAATGATAAAGGAGGTTTATCTATTGTCAATACATTGGTCATTTTCATTTACACCTGAAAAAAACAGTAAAAAAACATAATTTTTGTAACTGGGCGAGCCTACCCGACACATTTTGAAAAGAGCTGAAAAACATGTTTTTTTAAACTTCTATTTTTTTAAGTTAAGCTATTCTTTTTTTGGTTTATTCTTTCTGCATTATTTAAGTAGATGATAAAACAATAGAAACATACAAAAATATTGATTATTACTCACCATTATACAGAAATGTAAGCAATACTCCTTAAGTGGGCGGGACTACACGACTCTCCCCTAAATACTGAAAATTGCTCTCAAAATTTAAATGTTTACAATTAGAAAATTAATTCAGTGAAAACCATTTCATTTTTTGTTTTTCTCAAATGTTACACTATTCAAAATTTGATAATAGAGAGTTAAAATGATCTCTCAACAAATATTTTAATCATATATCAAGCAATTGAAAATATTTTGAAGATAATTGATATACAAACCATCCATATTGAGTACAATTATTCCAACGACACCTTTGTGAGACTGGATTCTTTTAAATGTTTCATCAATTTCAGACTAGAAGAGAAAAATATGCCCCTTAAATCAAATTGAACAGAAATTTTTTTAATATTATAAAGTAATTAAAAATATTTCAATACGAATTTTAAAAAATTCCTCTGAGTAGCATTATAACAATATTAGATACTTTGACATCATACCAAAACTAACAATCTGCCATTTGCTACAAACTAGGTTTTGGTGTAGTACCTATTATATATATTTAGTAGCACTATAATTATATAATGTTTATTCCATCAGATAGTAAAGAGGGCAAAAAATAGGTTTAAAAAACTGCATTTAAAAGCAAATAAGTGACTTTTTTCAAAGAACATCATGTAATTCTTCTTCACAAAATAAAAATATTAATATTATTTGTAACATGTAAACTAATACAGTTAAACTTTTGTTGCCACTGTATGCATGAGTCTGACCAGTATTTATTCAGCAATTTCATGTTTTTCCTCCATGTTCTAGACACTGGAATAAAAACTGTCTGAATAAGAACTTCAGTAAATGAAAAATCTCAAATATGTGTGATAATGGCAAACAAAAATTCCTCACACTGAAAGATAAAACATAAGTTGTTGAGGATAGTAAAAAAAGGACTAAGTGCACACAAATTAATTTCACTGTATGGCTATTATAAAACACAAATCACTGACATCCTAAAGAAAGTGGTCAGTATAATGAATTATAACAATGTTAAAAAAAATATTCCTATAGCCTTGTTACACTTGCCTTAACAGTTTTGGTACTGGACATAAAATGTACATCATGATGATATCTTTAAAAAAAATTTTAAATGAGTAATGCTTGCACACTCTTGTGTAAAAGATGAAACGCTAAATAAGTTAACTATTCATTTGAGTAATCTTGTTTGTAATTATGCATTCTTTTTTTGTTATTTGATGTTGAATGTAATTTTTTCATTTTAGTTCATTTATTATTTTTTTTTAACCAGTTCGTTTATGAGTCTGAATAGCAGCCACCTTCTAACACAGGTCACATAAGCAAAGTCCCTCAAGAGACTGTTGTACAAAGGTTTTACTACATTAGTAAACCAGAATGAAAGATTTTAATCAAACATCAATTAACATTAACTTTACAATTAAGTTTTAAGTTCATTATCAGCTATAGCTTGTAAGCAAATATAAAATCACTACAAAAATAAGCATGGCTCTTTAAATTATGAATGTTATCAGTAAAAAGTTATAAGTGGTATAATTGTAGATGAAATAAATAAATCAAACGATAATTTCTGGCCTAAAGATTAGCATATGAAGTGTTCTTCTTAAGCGTTTTTAGAAGGACGGCTTGCCTTGCTTGTCCATAGTTTCCAATAAATGAGCCCTTTTTGTAAAAATAAGCCGCCATCCTTTAAAAATACGGCCTTTTTATTCATATCCCATTTTAAAAGAAAAAAAAATTTATTCACTGTTTAAATAATAATTACACCCAGATAAAATTATCTATGTTTATAGGTTTAATTCTGATTACAAATATTTACCTAGTTAGGGTTATTCTCAACAAGTTAAATGTTTTCAAGAATTTCTTTTCTCAGGAGAGGATATTAATAAATTTTTTATGTGATTTAAAATTTCAAAATTATTTTTTAAACAAATACTTTTTTTTTTCTTCTTTCAAAAATGCATCTTCAGATGCTCATTTTATCATAATTTTAAGTTTAAATTATAGAAAGCTTTCAAATTGTTCATCCATTAATCTTTTTCCTTTATTTTCTTTCTTTTTTTTTGTGAAAAAAAAAATATGCAGAGATTCTCTTTTAGCATGCCTTTAATTATTTTTATTAACTACAAATTATTTTCTTATTTTGAGAATGAATAAGAATTATAAATAAATAGACACATACAATAGTATAAGAGGGTAGTTAAAAAATTGTTCAGGATAAAATTCAGTAATTACATAATATTACAAGTTTTCATAAATTTTTTGTGTTATATGAGTGCCTTTTTCTGAGAAGAACCACCCTACCATTTTTAATTCCTCTTGCATACGCCAAAATAAAATGGATTTTTAGACAATAAAAATTAAGGCACAGGTATAACCAATTTATTAGGAGAAAGCTTATAACCAGACATGAATAGCACAAATACATAAATACTGCTCGTAGAAAAAAAATTAAATATTACTCATTCTAAATAAATATATATACACTTTAAATTATTTTTTACAATAATCATTTATAACTAATTTATGAAGAGAAAGCTTTTTACCAGACATAAATAATACATAGGTACAAATGCTCCTCATGGAAAAATTGTTTTTGTATTACCTACTCATTATGAAGAAAAAAAAATTGAGAAAAATTTTTCTGGTGTCATGTGGGAAGAATTTCTTTCACTGTTTTCATGAATCGTAAATTGAATGAGCAGCAGTTGGGTTTTTTTCCAGGTGGAGGTTATTGTTTTTTACTTCATTCAAATGCCAAACTAAACATTATGTACATAAATGGATTAAAGTGGCATTGCAAGACTTAAAGCATTTGCCTGTGTCTTGCTAAATTACAGTCTTCCAGCAAAAACATTTCATGGTTAAGCTTTTTTAAAAAACAATTATAATGAACAATCATCTCAGTTTAACATAGAAAGTGAAATGCTGTTTTGCCGCAAAGAAGTTTGCAAAAAAAATTATCAAACAGACCTACAGCAAAAACATCTGAATGAACATGCAACAAACAAAAGATCCACCAACCAAACATTGATTTGCTTTTAAATATAAAAATCAATTTAGAATTTTAAAAAAATTAAAACACTTTTCAAAAAATTAGTAATCTTCAAACAAATATTGTTAAAATTAGATGGCGATGAAAAGGCTAAAACTATTTGTAACAGTTATTAATTGCTTTCCGAAAGTTCAATTGAGATAGTGTGCTGGGAGAAAATTTTTCATTTTATCTAAATCTGCTTATTACTCCCTTTTCAAAATAATCATTAAAGCACTAGGCCACAACTCTAAGGACAAAGACAGCATTAGATAACTAAATTTCCTTAAGAAAGTAATTAACCTTTATTGTACTATTGGTCATGCACAAACACATACTGGACATTATTTGCAGGTTAGAAAATAGAGATTCAGAATAAGTCTCAATCACAAATATGCTTAAATGTGAAAAAAAGGTTAATGAAGTCAATTCAAAAAGTTAAAAGAAATTATAAAAGCATTATTATCATGCGAAATGTATACCTTCCTAACAATTATCACAATTATTTTAAAAGTGGAATTAAAACAATTTAGGAAGAATTAAGTGAAAAATAAGACAAACAAAAATAAGAAATTATGCTTCTTAAGTGATGATAAAATTTAAAAAAAATTTACATAAAGATTTAGTCTTGGAAGTTTAGAATTAGTGAAAAATATTTGAGAGATCCTAGGCTAGAGCTAAAACTAGCACACGTACAAGAAACAACCGATGCCTAAATACATTTCGTTAAGTACTTTTCCTAAAAATTTATGGTATCACTCCCTATTAACAATATTAAATTAATTAAAAGGTAAAATGATGTATTCACAGTCTATAATTAATTTCAAAAAAATTAATAGAAATATATCTTACAGCCATAATTTTTTCTTGAAATCAAATATCGGTAATATTTTTATATGTAATAAATAGTATTTTCTGTTTTAATAAAACACCATAGAAACGAAATTTTGTGATACAAAAACAAAAACAGAGAGCAAAACTACCAGCAGTTACAGTGAGTAAAGATAGTCAAGATTTCTAATTTAATTAAATTACAGTTCATGAAACTAAGTCAGGAGTAATTAATAATTATACATTTAAATTGAATGGTTTTCTGGTACTTATTTTAATTTCTTTTTTTCTATTTTATTATATTTCATTAAGGGCTCTACTCCTAACTTGATACAAGTTCTACAATACCAACTGAAAAATAAATTTACTCAGTTTTTGTTCAAAAATAATATAAATAGTGTGTCTTTTTCAAGTGATCACCTCCGAAAATAAAGTTTGCAAATGTTACGTGTGAAAAATTCAACACTAAAAATTTTATATGCTTGTCATATGATTGTACACCGTGAGCATGCGTAAAGTAAACAAAAAAATCTAAATATTTGGGAGAGTTCTTTAGGTCTTTTCAATACCTCTTTCTGAAATAAATCTTTAAACTTAGTAGATATGTTGGAAATACTTTTTAATATAGATAATGGTTATTTAGAAGGTTTAATTAGAGGTTTTAAATGTGGCATATTGAAAGTGGCTGATTACCACAATCTTGTACAATGTGAAACTTTAGAAGGTAATATGTTAAATGATTCTTAATATTTTTTCTTTTTCTAATTATGATCAATGCAATTTCAGATATCTTTAGGACGTATTTATTGAGCAGGTAATTTCTTAATGCTAAAAAAAATTAATCTTTTTTTTTTAAAGAAAAATCGAATAGTTATAATAGTCTCGGGTAAAGTAGTTACCTACTTAACATTTTAAAAATTATTTCGCAATGGATTAATTGATATATTTATAACAGGTTTTGCCTTTCTTACGAATTTACTTTTCAATAGCCTGATTGGGTTTGTGCTATTGCATTTTTTTTAATAAAAATTTTACTATTGAACTAAAAAGATTTTCTCCATATATTGAATTTCAAAACGTTTTGAATGGCTTATTACTTATCATCAATATGACTTGTAGGGGAGATTTCCGTGAGAAACCAAAAAAAAAACATCACAAAAAGGGACCAACTCGAAAGGTATAACTCGTAGCCACATGTTTTGCTTTTTCTTAATTTGCAAGTTTAAAATCTATTAGGCACTTTGGCTATTGTAGTTGGCGCGACTGATCACAATACGGAAATATCCCCGACTTCTACACCATGTGAATGCTAAAAATTGTTAGAGGCATATATTGTTAAAATTAGAAGGTATAATAAGAATGAGATTAAATGAAACATCTATTTTTATAAAGAACAATAAGGTTTTCAAGGTTGTTCCAGCATTAAAATTTCCATGTAATTTGTATTTAAAAAGTAGATTGTTCTAATTAACAAGCATTCTGAAAATTCAACTATAGTTTTGGAGAGAGGAAGATTTGGCCTTGGTTTGAAAATGGAGATATTTCCTTATTGTGATCTGTTGAGGTGACTACAATCGCCAAATAGATTTTAAACTTGCAATTTTTTTTAAAAAAGCATTTAGATATTTGCCAGGGGGTGGCTATGAATTATATTTTTGAGTTTATGCATTTTTGTGATGTTTTTTTTTTTTTAAGTTTCTCGCGGGCAAACAAATTTTATTTATACAATTTTGCTGAAACTCTGTAACTCATTACCGTTATATTCTTTGCTTTCATTAACATTACCCTCAGGATAAGGTTTGTTTATCGTTAAGCGATTGGTTCTTGGTTTATTATGGGATATATATTTTTTTTCTTTTCAAATTTCAACTGTTGCTATTATTTTACTATTGCCTACTGCATATTGCTATCTTTTNATTGCAGTTTTTATTAATAAAAATTTTACTATTGAACTAAAAAGATTTTCTCCATATATTGAATTTCAAAACGTTTTGAATGGCTTATTACTTATCATCAATATGACTTGTAGGGGAGATTTCTGTGGTAAAGTAAAAAGTCTTGGAATCTTCCGGAAAAGTGGGTTGGAAACTTCCGGGCCAAAAAAAAAACATCACAGAAAGGGACCAACTCGAAAGGTATATCTTGTAGCCACCCCAGGGCAAACATCTACGTGTTTTTGTTTAAAAAAAATTTTTAAGATTAAAATCTATTTGGCACCTTGGCGATTGTAGTTGGAGCGACAGATCACATTTCGGAAATATCTCCAACTTCTATATCATGTGAATAGACTTTTCAGTCTTAAAAGTCTCAAACTGGAAGACAACTGCCAGGCAGAGACAGGCCTGGAGGAAGTTGATTGAGAAGGCCAGGGCCCACCCGGGGCTGTCGTGCCATTGAGGAAGGAAGGAAGGAAGGATATCATGTGAATTCTAAAAATTGTTAGAGGCATATATTGTTAGAATTCGAAAGTATAATAAGAATGAGATTGAATGAAACATCTCTTTTTATAACAATAGGGTTTTCAAGGTTGTCCCAGCATTAAAATTTGCCTTTAATTTGTATTTAAAAAGTAGATTGTTCTAATTAACAAGCATTCTGAAAATTCTACTATAATTTTGAAGTTGTTGACCCTGGAGAGAGGAAGATTTGACCTTGGTTTGAAAACTGAGATATTTCCTTATTGTGATCTGTTGAGCTGACTACAATCGCCAAATAGATTTTAAACTTGCAAATTTTTTTAAAAAAAACATTTAGATATTTGTCAGGGGGTGGCTATGAGTTATATTTTCAAGTGGATGCATTTTTGAGATGTTTTTTTTTCTCTAGTTTCTCGTGAGCTGCAGCCTGGAAACTGCCAAGAATTAGTGATTATTCTGCCACAGATCATGATACAAAAATCTCCACTTAAAATCAAATTTCATTTGTACAATTTTGCTGAAACTCGTTACCGTTATATTCTTTGCTTTCATTAACATTGCCTTCAGGATGCTGTTTGTTTATCGTTAAGCGATTGGTTCTTGGCTTATTATCGGATATATGTCTTTTTTATTTTCATATTTCAACTGCTGCTATTATTTTACTACTGCATATTGCTATCTCTTTATTTTTGTATCCCTATCTTTATCTCATCTCTGCAAAGAAAAATATCAAGAGAAATCTTTTTTTTTTCTTTTTTAGTTGAAGGTTATGATATTTTATAACAAAATTACAGTTTTGTTAACTATTTAATATGCGTGTCTTTGGATATATGTTGATAAATTAACATCAATAGTAAAATAGCGTTTATGTTAATATTTCTGATTAATATTATTTATTTCTTGATTATAAATTATAAGTATTAAATAGTAAAACATTTAGATCAGTGATGCTTTAAAAATATTTGTGAAAAACATAACTTAAACATAATACTCTTTGGTACCTATCTTAGCATTAGAAAATCACCAAATATAAAAGGAATGCCCTATCATTAAATATAAACTATTTCTATAATTTTTTTCTTAAATTGGAATTAAACTCAGTATTTTGAAGATTGTGTAAAGCGTAAAAAATCATTTTCATGAAAAACAATCTAAAACATATATTAACAATAATTAGCTACTATAAATATATTTTTAAAATTAAAAGTTAAAATTGGAGTTTTTCGCTGAATAAGCTTTTTATTATTTTTAAAAAAAAGTTTCTGCCACCCTGGTTAATAGATAGTGAAAAAGTAAAAAACAACAATTAAAGTTAGCCTACCTTTTATTTTATCAAACTTAAACATTACATAATTAATTCTTAAATCTTATTTGAATTATTTATATGTTATAGTGACTATCTATCATTTGTGTTAGATTTTGATATTGACTGTTAAACAATCATATGATATAGTATTTCAATAATATTTCTTTTTCATTAATACTTTTATTATTTCAGATTTAAAAGTACATTTACAAAGTACTGACTATGGAAATTTCTTAGCCAATGAGCCCAGCCCGTTAACAGTCAGCATCATTGAAGACAAGTTGAGAGAAAAGTTGGTCATTGAATTTCTTCACATCAGGAATCAAGCAGTTGAACCTCTTTCAACATTTTTGGATTATATCACGTAATAATTGTTTCCCTACTACATAAGTGTTTCTAAATTTCTCTGCATGACTGTATTGTCCTTTTTAATTTACCATACGAATATTAGAAATTATTATAAAGATGACCAATTGTGAGGTTAAATGAATCAGAATAAATTTAATTTCTTTAAATCATAAAGCAATGTACAAGGCTTGTTTGAAAAGCAGGGTTAGCTGACTTAAGCCATGTTTTATACCAGAAAGTTTTTTTAAAAACCAGCTTGATTTTCTTAAAGAAAAAAGTATTTTAAAGTCAAATCAATGTCCCTAAAAATTATTGAAATAACACAGATCATCACCAACTATATTCTCAACATGTTCTGATAATTTTTTTTATAATTCTTTAAAAAATGTAATAATAAGACAAGATCAATTTTTTTGTTTTGTTTAATTCTTGTTGAACAGTGTCAGGGGTCTGTCTAGATACCTATTTTGTGAAAATTTAGACATTATATGGATTTATCGTTTCTTACGGAATACAAAAATAAAATTTTAATAAAAAGTATTTTGAAAAACTGCCGTTTTTTCTAAAGTTGAATTTGTGAAGGTACCGCCATACAGTAGTAAATTTGTGTTATGCTTATTATAATGAAAAGCATAAATTGAAATGAGATGCTTTTCTAAATTTTATTTGGCAGTTATTTATTTTTTTCTGGTAATTATTAATTTTCATATTATTTTTCTGGTAATTATTAATTTTAAGTCTTAAATTTTTAAAATAATTTAGTGAGCAGTGTATCTTAACTTAACCCCTTAACTGACGCGAGCGTATATATACGTCTCGGCCAGACGATGCGTTAACTGCCGCAGGCGTATATATACGCTTTCCCAAAGTACGGTGCTTTGCATTGCGTTGCTATAAATAGAACTACACCCCCTAGTTCAGAATTCAGTAAAATTGCCTTGAAAATGTTTGCTTTGCGAATGTATTACTAATTTCGGAGGTGGGGAATGGGAAAAGGATGTTATGAAAAAGTGATATCGTATTAATCGCTTGTGTGTATTTATTTGAATAAGGTCGGGTTTATTTTTTTTTTTCGCTTTTGTTTCCCGTATGTATTTGGTCCTTTCTATTCTTTCCATCAACGTCTTCAAAGAAAAATGCATCGCGAAAATGTGCTGTTTGTTCAAGAAAAAAATTCTTTGTGAATCCTGCTATCAGTGCGATGAATGTGACATTGGTTTATGTGTCCAACCATGTTTCAGGATTTATCATACAACAACTAAGTTTTAACATCTTTTATATTGTATTTTTATTATTTAATTTAAATTTTGTATTTTCTTTCTTTCCTTTTTCTTGTCCTGTAAAATTAAACTGTTTTTAAATTGCAAAGCGTGCATCATTTCCCCCACCAAAACACCGTGTAAGAAAGTGCACTTGAGCAAAAAACGATGGCACTGGGGAGTGAATCACGTTAATTTTACTTGGCAGTTAAGGGGTTAATATTAAGATATTGAATGTTCTAATTACAATGCTTACTTGTCATCTAATATCTGTTGATTGGGATTTTTTTCATCATATTTTACAGTACTTATATTTCTCCTTTAAAAAAAATTTTTGCATGTTATAAATTTTAGGTACAGCTATATGATTGACAATATAATTCTTCTCATTACCGGCACATTGCATCAACGGCCAATATCTGAATTGATTCCTAAATGTCATCCGTTGGGAAGTTTTGATCAGATGGAAGCTATCCATATTGCATCTACTCCTGCAGAACTATATAATGCTGTAATAGTTGACACACCATTAGGTAAACATATAATTAGAGCTTTTCTTTTTGTGTGTGTGTATATCATTTACTCTTTTTTTTTAAATGGGTATATTTATGAGTGATGCAACAGATAACTTGATATCCTGTTACATTAATCAGTTAATACTGTTTCTTTTTTTTTATATATAATTCGTCTGCTAACATTAGTTTGTCTTTACGAATTTGATTTTCAGTACTCAATATTTAAATTTGTTAACTAATTTTATCCATATTTAAATCATCAGTGCTTTTCTAAAATTTTAAGAAAAAATAACATTTTTCTATCACGTTCTTTACAAATCATGTGCATTCAATGTGGAATTGATGAATAAAAATAAGTTTTCAATTAATCTGTATAAAGATTCATTATTTCCTTTTCAGCTCCATTTTTTGTTGATTGTATCTCAGAGCAGGATCTTGATGAAATGAACATTGAAATCATCAGAAACACTTTATATAAGGTAGATATGTTTTCATTTTTAAATCAAGTAAATCAATTTCAGCCACTTTTATTACCATTTAATTTACATTTATTTGATTTACGAATAATAATGTCTCTTCATAGTAAATCTCTCTCTCTTTTTTTTAAAGTTTTTATATTCTGACTTCTCAGAGTTGAAGATTTCTTTAAATATTAAGAAGATTTAAAAAGTCAATTTGATTGTGTGTAGTATCAGCTCTTCTGTGCTAGTTGGTATAAATATGGGTGACAGTCGAGTTTTAAAAGGAGCAAAATACAAATAATGCTCTAAATTTTGCTTATTAAAAGGGTTGGGAAAGTGAATTGATTGGTGTTTAGTACCAACTCTTCAAATGCGTGAGTCGATATATATGTGGGTGCCTCCAAAGTCCTTTTTTTCTGTGGGGTAAAACAGAATTATTCTCTATAATTTTGACATTAAGGTTTTATTAGTGTCAAGTACCAACTCTCAAATGTGTTTGTTGATATAAGTATAAGAGCCTTAGGTGTATTGTTTTTGACAGGGAAAAAATTTTAATTACTCTCTATGTTTCACACATATAAAAAGGAAGAAAAAAACCCTCGAAAAAGGTGAGGATGAAATAAAAAATCTAAACGTGTTTAGGAATTTTCTTCTTAATCTCAAAATCTTTATTTTGTAGTGCATACACACTTTTATTAGAAAATATAAAAAAATAAAGGTTTGTATATTAAGGCACTACTATATTTTTTATGTGCCTTTACGATTCCTCTTTTAAACGTATTCAAATCCTAAACAACTTTATTAACGATTTTTTGAAGTGTGTATTTTTTAATGGGGGTTAGTATGATAAATGTATTTGAAGTTTATAAAATAGCAAACAAAGAAACCAATGCAAATAATTGTTTTCCCATTCCAAAATTAAATTTTCAGTTTTTGATGTCCTCTAGTTTTTCTTATACATATTGTGAATGACCCTTATGATAGTAAGTTATGTATAATTACAATTATTGAAGACAATTAATTATTTTTCATTTGAAATGTACGTCTTATTATTTTTATTACGTCTTATTATTAATTATTTTTCATTTAAGACGTCTTATTTTATTATTCGTAAGGATTCATGTGCATTTCTATTAAAATTATATTATTGTAGCTGTAGCAGCCTTTATATTGTAATCTCTTTTAGTCTTTTGAGAAAGTATTGTGAAATATAGTTTAATATTTCTTATCAGATATATATGCATCGAATAATTATCTCCATTATCATGGAAAAAATAGTTTTTCTTCTATACTGTTTGATTGCATATCTGATAAAAGAAAGACAAGATTAATTATAAAGAATGGTTCATAAGACCTTTAAATTGATAAAATTATTAAAACCAAATTTGAAAAATAAAATGTGTTAAAACTGAAAATATTTGATGTAGATGAGATTAATTGTTAATAATTACTCAGTAGGCATCTTTAAATTGCTAGTGTTATTTGTGAATTATCTTTTTATTAAAAAAAGCAGTGAGTTAAAATTAAATGAACACTTGATTGATGACTATCTTCCTAACATTTAACTTTTTTTTCAGGCTTATCTTGAAGCTTTCTACAATTTTTGCAAAGAACTGGGTGGAATCACTGCTGAAGTTATGTGTGAGATTTTGGCAGTAAGTTTTAAAATGAATATTTATTTTAAATATCCATTATAATTTAGGTGTCTCCTTATTATCTGATATGTTCTTAGTTTGACTCCAATAAAATGTTTGTGTAATTTTAGCATGTTTGTTATAGATTTTTATTCAATGCTTAAATCAAACTTTATGGAAAATATGCTTAACTGGACTTTATTTATTGTTGTAAGCAACACACTGGTAGTATGTTGACACGTACATGCACAACCTGCACAGAAATTCTCAATATTTTGCAGAAAATTTTAAAGCATAAAAAAAATCTAATTTTTTTTTAAGAAACCATCTAATTTTTCTTCAGCCTTTCATCCCTTCAGTGGGTCGATAAATGAGTACCAAGCATGCTTGGGAACTAAACACTGGGGGTTCCGCGTTCGGCTGACCACCTGACCGGAACATCTGTTTCTGCACCCTAGAGCCCAAGGTCAAGAAAACTGAGATGAGCACAGTAGGCCTTGGACCTCAAGGGCTGTCACGCCGCTGAGTTTAGTTTATCTAATTTTTCTACTTGGAAGGAATTAATGTGCTACAATCTCTTTCTCTCCCATTATCACGTAAGAAAATGTATAAAATTAGATAAGTTGTTGCATGACATACGTAAATGAATTATAGTTAAAAATGATTTGGTGGAGAACTGTAAATGATATTTGCCTTACCACATTTTTAATGTATTTTTATCATAGTCATGAACAATTAATGTTACTTAAAAGTAACATATAATAAGATTAGCTAACAACAAAACTATGTGTTGAACAAAAAATGGGTTATTGTTCTTAACTGGAAAAGGTAATTAAAAGACAGACAAAGATAATTTTTTTTTCTATAATATTTATTACCGTGTGCAAAGCATTTGCTTTTCCATTCTCATTGTTTATTTGCAATGAAACAGGCTCAGTCTGGAAACCTCGGCCCAACAAGGTCTGTAATTGAAAGAAGCTTTCCAGCCAGTTATTACATTTTAATACATGATTCAAACAAAACAGATACACAAAAATTATGTGGTTTAATTTTTAAGCATAAAATATTATTAAATGTCATCATATTGAAAGAGGGATCTCATATCCCTGTAAAAATTACCCTTTATCTAACATTCCAAACCTGAAGTTTAGGATGGGGAAAAAAATTATATAAATATCGTACTTGTGTTTTAAAAGTCTTTTGCTTTAGTTGGGCTCAGACATTTATAAATGAGCTTGAGCTCACATCTCGAGCTACAGATGATTGTAGTAACCTCCCTGTTTCAGCTCCACATTCCAAACAGTTAAATAGACTTTTCTGGCTCTATAAACTGCATTAAAGTAAATTCAAAATATCAAAAATATGATTAGATAAAATAGAATCCAATGAAACCTTCATAACAATTAATGAAAGGCTAATATGGTTTTCTTTTTCATTATTTTCAATATAGTTATTTTTAATGTGCAATTTTCTTTTAGTTTGAAGCTGACCGACGAGCTTTCATCATAACCATTAACTCGTTTGGAACTGAATTAACTAAAGAAGATAGAGCTAAACTCTATCCTCATTGTGGGAAGCTATATCCTGATGGTCTCCAAGCTTTGGCCAAGACTGATGAATATGAACATGTGAAAGCTGTTGCTGAATACTATGCTGTATGTTTGATTTCTTTCTTTTTTTTTTCTTCTTTCCATTTTACTAATAAACAGGCAAGATTGAAATATAATAAAAGAAATCTACCTTCAAATGCAAAAATGTGCTAGCTAAAATAGTGGATTAGCTACTAATACCGTCATCTATATACCATTATTACAATGTCTCCAAGTTCAGCTTTATATTTACAAAAAAATTATAATAATTATTAATTTATAAATTTTCCTTAGTAATTAATATTTTAGCATAGCTACAAAGTCTACCAGATTTTGATAGTTTCTCTTGTTCGGATTTTATGAAAAAAGTTACTTTTAAAATGGATTTTTATCTGAATTTATAATTTGTTTGATAATTTAAATAGGTAACACATAACTAAATGATTATAATAGAAGAGATTTTAAATATATCTAAATAAATAAAAATGTTATCTTCTTATGATAGTCAGCTAAATCTTATATATATTAACTAGATTGGCCTATATTAAATAGATTTCTTTCTGCATTTAAAAATTGTTCTAATTTGGTAAATTACATAATTATAAATTTATTAAATATAATAAATAAATAATAGTAAATTTTATTCAGCTAATCAAGAAATGTGAAACTTGTTTTTTAAATTTTTAGTCATTAGTGTAATGCTATTTTTAAGATTTTCTTTTCCTTTATAATTAGAAATTCTCAAAAGTTTTTTTGTTTATTGTTTTAAAGTTCATATAAATTTCTGTGAATTGATGCATAATTTTTCTTTGCTAGGAATACTCAATGCTTTTTGAAGGTGCTGGAACTAATCCTGGAGAAAAGACACTAGAGGACAAATTCTTTGAACATGAAGTAATTATTTTCTACACCTCTATCTTGATGAATTCTCTATTTTTCAGGTTTTAGTAATTAAAAAATAATAATCTCTGGCTGAATATAAATAAACATGTAAATTAAACATAGGAGGAGAGTAGCTATTATGAATTTTTATTGTGTGTTACAATTATTATGCAGATTGTATAATACTTAATTACTGGCTTTCTTGAAAGTATGTTATTATTCTACTAATAGAGTGAAAAGCTACCAGAATTTAATTTAAATTTTACGTCAGTTATGAATATTAATTCTAGATAACCTGGATTGTGTCCTGCCAATTATGTATAGTAATTTTATCTTGCACAAAGTGCTTTCTGTACTAAGATTTGAAAAGTCAAATGCTCATTTGTTTAAAATAAAATATATCCTGTTTTATTATTTTATATAATGTTCACTCTGCTCAGAAGTAATCTTTTTAACTATAATAACTACTTTTGTCTGTTGTTGAGAGTCGCACCCTTCACTTCTGCTCAAACCAATCAATTTAATGATACCCCTAAAGCAGTGTTTCCCAACGTGGGGCCCACGCCCCACGGGGGGGGCCATCTGAGGGTAAAGGGGGGCAATTCAAAAATGGACTCGACATGAGTTTAAACCTTTTGCTCTTGGCCATTTAAATGCAATGCAAGATTTCGGTGACAAAATCGAAAGAAAAAAGCAAATTCTTAAATAATTGCGGTCAATAAATATTATGTGACTTATGGATTTTTTAAGCGACAAATCTGAAATGAAGTATCTGTTTACAGTCGATGGTAAAGCATTTGTGAGTTGTTTAGCCAATATCTTTGAAAAACTGAATATATTAAATAAGAAACTTCAAGGAACAAATAAAACTCTTGTTGATGCAAAAGCGAAGATATTTGGCTTCATTACCCCTATTGAGTTATGTCAGAAATATATTAACAACAAAAACTTTGAACAGTTTCATTGGCTCCAAAAATGTGAAGTAAATGATACCGCTTTACTTGTTATTGTCTATCATCTGAAAATTCTATCGGCTGATTTAAAAGAAAGATATTCTGATTTAAGACAAATTTATTTTCCAACATGGATGTTGCAGTCCATGTTAGTGGATTTGTCTGACATATCAAATATCTCAAGAACTTGCAGTAATGCAAAATGATGAGTCAGTTAAAACTTTATTTAATATGAAAGGAGTGATGGCATGGCTTCGTGAGGAAACAGAAAACAAATACCCAAATTCAATCAAATGTGCAAGAAAACTATTGTTACCGATTCCATCTTCATATTTAGCTGAATGTGGATTTAGTGCTGTAAATAATTTTATTGGTAAAAAAAACAAATCGTTCTGGATATAACACAACGGGGAGTCTTGAGACTGAAGCTAACCAAATTGGAACCTAAGATAAAATCTATGTGCAGAAGGGCAAGATTCTCACTAAATTAAAATATTAAATTATCATAGAAAAATCTTTATTAAAATTATTTCGAATTTGAATTTGAATTTTTCATTATATGTTCTGAAAATTTAGTTACTGTGTTTCGCTAACAATNTGGTAAATTACATAATTATAAATTTATTAAATATAATAAATAAATAATAGTAAATTTTATTCAGCTAATCAAGAAATGTGAAACTTGTTTTTTAAATTTTTAGTCATTAGTGTAATGCTATTTTTAAGATTTTCTTTTCCTTTATAATTAGAAATTCTCAAAAGTTTTTTTGTTTATTGTTTTAAAGTTCATATAAATTTCTGTGAATTGATGCATAATTTTTCTTTGCTAGGAATACTCAATGCTTTTTGAAGGTGCTGGAACTAATCCTGGAGAAAAGACACTAGAGGACAAATTCTTTGAACATGAAGTAATTATTTTCTACACCTCTTGAAGAATTCTCTATTTTTCAGGTTTTAGTAGTTAAAAAAATAAATAATAATCTCTGGCTGAATATAAATAAACGTGTAAATGAAACATAGGAGAGTGGCTATTATGAATTTTTGTGAAGATTTTCTCCTGTTTACCTCAAAATAAAAAGAAATAATAAATTAAAATCGTTATTATGAAATGAATATAGCATTTATTTTTTAAAATATTTTGGAATAATCTAATTCCTCAAGTATAGTATTGAAAAACAGTTCTTATATACATAGTAGCTTTCATTAATGTTTTAAAATATCATAAATGTTTTAAAATTTTCAATTTGTAATTTTACTGAATGTATATTTCATGTTTACTATCACATTAAATTTTATCATAAATTTTCGTATAGTTATTGTGTGTTACAATTATTATGCAGATTATATAATACTTAATTACTCGCTTTCTTGAAAGTATGTTATTATTCTACTAATAGAGTGAAAAGCTACCAGAATTTAATTTAAATTTTATGTTAGTTATAAATATTAATTCTAGATAACTAAAACCTGGATTTTATCTTGTACAAAGTGCTTTCTGTACAAAAATTTGAAAAGTCAAATGTTCATTTGTTTAAAATAAAATATATCCTGTTTTATTATTTTATATAATGTCCACTCTGCCCAGAAATAATCTTTTTAACTATAATAACTACTTTTGTCTGTTGTTGAGAGTCGCACACTTCACTTCTGCTCAAACCAATCAATTTAATGATACCCTGGAGTATTTGTCAAGAAAAATAAATGTAAAATCACCTGGAAATGTAATTAGCTGATTAAAGCAAGTTCTTGAGAAATCTCACCAAAAAGGTCAAATAAAAAGATAAATTACTCCAACCAGGTTTGGAAAGAATGATGCTGTAAGAAGGGAACGCTTACAGAATACAGGAGTAAGCGGGAAAGTGATAGGTGGTGACATATTAATTCCCTCTCTAGAAGATAAATTTAAAACAAAAATAAAGTTTCCTATCAAACATCGAATCCAAATTGCATAAAAAGAAACATTTTGAATCCGTAAAACTGAAAATAAGTGAACTTAAATAAAATTTACCCATCAATTTAACAAAGTTCAATTAATTTAAATACCAAAAGGAATAAATAATGAATTAAATCGGGAGAAAAAAGTTGCGACAAACTTTTCATGTTTGAAATTACAGTATCAAAGAATTTAAACATGTTAGTAATTATGAATTGTTAACATATTGTTATGTTAGTATTTATATATATATTTTCTTTATTATCAGGTTCGTTTAAATAGCAGTGCATTCCTTCAACAATTCCACTATGGAGTATTTTATGCTTATGTTAAGCTGAAGGAACAGGAGTGCAGAAATATTGTTTGGATCTCAGAGTGTGTTGCACAGCGCCACCGAGCAAAAATTGATAATTACATCCCTGTCTTCTAAATTAATATCATTTTTTATATATTTTTTTTATCCTAGAAGAATGTTATTTGTACAACTACATTCCTAAATACAATTATTGACTTTAATATTTTGTTGCTTGATTCTTGTTTTGGTTGTACAAAATTATATTTATTTAATTAGAATATTTGAGAAATTCTATAATGTAAATATTTCAAAACTTGGTGTGTTTGGTGTAAACTCTGTAGATTTAGTCATAATATATACAAGAAATATTCTATTGAGTATATATATATAAATTGTTAATGTGTTATTAAATGTTGGAAAAAAATAGTAAATTGAATTATTATTCAGAGAATATGGCTAGTTTAAAATATAAGTGTCTTACTGAAAACAGCATAGAGTAATTATTAAAAAATATAATTATCATGTTTAATTTTTAAAATGATTCTTTTTAAATTCTTAATAACTGCCAACTAATGTCATTAATTTGTTATAATATCTGCTTGAGTGTGTTACTTAAAATTTAGAACTAATTGTGAATTTGATAATTTTATTTAACTATTTATTTTTCATGTTTACTTGTGTGTTAAATTCCATCTGAAATCAATTTACCTCAAAAAATTTTAGATATTTCTTAAAGGGCTCTTCTGTGTAGAATTAAAACATTGAAAGTCACTGTTCAACTTAAATTTTCAATAGAAGTTTTGATTTTAAATATACTTTTGTTTCAGATTCGATGTATTCCACTCAATTATTTATTCATTCAAGATTTTTTTTTAGCACTTTGTGTTTCCTAATCACTTTATTTCATGAATTGTTTTTTTCTCTTAAAAAAATAGGCACAAATCTTCAATTTTTCTATTTTTTACTTTCAGCTCTGAAGCTTTTATTGATTAAAAGCTTTAATATTCAATCAGTTCCTTTTTATGACTGAATAATTGATATAAGTGTTTCTTAGGTGTTTTTCTGTCTTAGAATTTGTTGACATCCAGTTATATTGTTTAAATATATGATTATAAAGTCATTATAATAAAGATGTAATTTATAGAAGCTATTATTTTTTATTGAAATATTTTAATTGTTTTTATGAGCATTCTTTGTTTAGTAATCAATAAAAGAGTTCATGCCAAATGCCAGCTTGTTTTTCTCTTTTTTAGGCATTCTTATTAATTACTTTATTTAAAAAAATAGACGAATTTATTAAAATTAGATTAGTGGTATAAACAATAAATAAAAGTTTGCAATCAAATATTAGCTGACAGGTTAGATACTTGTAAATCAATATTTACTTTTTGTAGTTTCATTTAAGTTCTAAAACTATACTTATATGTCAAATGGTCGAAATTGATCACAAGTATGGAAAAACTCTACTAATTCTGTGTTAAATTTCCAAGCCTATAATATATTTCTAACTTATACCCAAATTTTTCAATTATAAAATTAGTAAAACTATAGCCTCAATTATCCTTTAGAAATTTTGAATAAATGCTCAGTTGCAATTGTTACTCAAAATATGTCATTTATGTGACACAAAATATTTGTATGGACTTTATATATTCAGTTTAATACTTTTAGTAATTAAATTTTAACTTATTTGCAATAAAATGTATATATTTTATTTACTTAAACACACAAAGTATAAAAGTACAAGTGTAGCTGGCAGTGATGTTTCAAAACCTCACTTTTAATATGACATAATGGGTTGCTAACTGATTTGGTTATATATGTATGCTGCAAACTTGACAGAGAATCAAATGTTATAACTGTTTGTTTGTTTTTTGTTAGTATACATGAAATTATTTTTGTTTTCATATTTGGGGCTAAAATATTTTAGAGATATAAAGGCATAGTTAAAAAAATTTTTTTAATTTCTAGCAGAACAAATTATGAAATTAGTGTTGCAAATGGTTTCTCCATTGCAAAAAGCTGATCAAGTTAACCTAAGTAAGACTTAAATAGTGCAGGTTCAAATTTGCAGCCAAAATAATAATAATTACTATTTCTATAGGCGTCACACTATATCCCCGTTGGTCCCCTGATGAGAACGCTAAGATGCATCAAAGGTTGTGCAAAAATAAGGCATGCCACATTTACAAATGCAAATTTTTTTTAAAAATAATTCCTTAAAATTAACTTTGCTTGCACTCAATCTTGTGTGGGCATAATATGTATGCTGATTGATATGAAGTAGTAATTGGGAATCTGTCCCTTCCCCTACATTGATAAGCTTTTTTGGTGGAAAGTACAAGTACCATTGCTCTGGTATACAGAAGTTAGTTTTACTCTCAGATCTTATGCTGTGTATGAAAGAAGTCACCTGGAAATCAAAGGATGAATAAAATGTGTTAATTTTATCAGATAGACATCTTCTACTATCTCAGCAATAAAAGAGGTTGGTTTGTTTGAAAATTAAATCGGCTTCTGAAACTCCTCCCTTTGGTCCCCTGGAGCAGCACTCAAGTGGCAGTTCACTGCAAATCCACCTTTCGAATTATTCCGCGAAAATGAATTTAAGGAGCTTTATACTTTTTAGTGTGTTTTTCTATATATTTTGACAAGTTTTTTTTAAGAAAAATTTTGTTACAAAAAGTTAAATCACACAAAATGCTGTTATTTAGAAAACTAAGTTCGTACGGTAAATTATTTCATGTACCATATATCTTGGTGTACAAGTTGATCGCTTATCTTTTTTTAATATTATATTATAGAAAATAAATGGTATGTTGGGTGCATAAATTGACGTCAGAAAAAATAAAATTTCTAGGACTAAAAATATATATTCATGTGTTATATTTCTTGAATAAATCATCTTAACTTTTTCTGAACATTAATTATTGTTTCTAAAAAACTTTTATATCCAAAGAAAGAATGTGAGAAAATTAACTGTATATAATATATTTAAAATAGTTTTTGAAAAGGGTTAATTGATATAGATTTATTCACATTGATCTTGATTACTGCAATAATTTACAATCATTATTAGTACTGTATAAGTCGACCACCTGATTCTTATAAAATTTAGAGGATTTGAAAACTTAACTTACATACCAGGACATACGATAAGTCTTGTTAATAACCCAAAAATTTGTGTAAGAGACAGTTACTAACAGTTTTCATCGCCGTTATAAAACATTAGAATTTAAACATTTTTAAATACATTGCAAACATGTACATAAGTTATGGTAGTAAAGGAAGATTTCTCTCTCTCAAAATAAAAAGGTTAAGAGATGTTCTAATACCGATTTTCAATTGTTTTGTTGTTGCCTAAAAACCAATTCAAAAAGTTCCTCAAATGATAACAGTTAATCAAACTTAATTCGTTAATATGTTATCATGAAACTCAGCTTATGAGGTACTTTGTATGCAACTGTAAAAGAATTGGGTTTCTATTATTCATACACGAAATATTAAATATAAATAAGTTTATTTTCAAGTATTTTTCCATTCTTCACAACTAACTCAAGATATATACATATATACAAAAAAAAAAATTGAGACATTTTACTAATAGGTCATATTATATTTCTTTTATGATTTCCTACTTATATTTAATACGATGTACAGAGCTTTAGTTATTTACAAGGCTTTTGAAATTAGGAGTTATGGGGAAAAAATGATACTTGTATAATAGAAGCAATTATTCTATATCAGGGTGTGTAGCCAAATTTTTGAACAAAAAATAAGCACCTCAGAAGTATTTTTTAAGCACTCAAAAAATATTTTTAAGCACCTTTTTTTAAAAAAATAAAACTAAAGAGAAAAAAAAATCAATTAGGGTATGGCACTAAGAAAAATATTTTCTTATTTCCTTTCTTCTCTAATAAAAGTTTATCTGTGAGTACAAAAAATTAACAAAATGCCAAAACTTTTTCAGACTTTAATTTTGGACGTGTGAGAACACAAAAATCATTGTGGGTTAGACAACGCGTATGCAAACACATGAGTAATTCATCCAACATATAAAATAATATACTCTTTCGTATAAAAGGATGAGGATGGTGCGCCGAAATGGATTATGGTTGATTGATTAGAGAAAATATTGAACAGAACATTGTCAAAACCATGCTTTTTTCTATAATTCGTTATGGTCATTGACATGACTAAGGGAAAAAAAATCATATTTTGGAAAAAAGAAAATTGAGCACTCTTTACGAATACCTAATGAAAAATATCTAAGGGCTTTTAAAAAAGAAAATCAAAAATAAGCACCTTTAATCACTTTTTAAAAAAGGTACGCACCCTGTAAATAAAAATGATCAATTTCTATTGTTTATATAACTTATTTTTAGTAATAAATATACTTAGTTGCCAATTGAATGGCAATAGAAAAGTATAATTTAAAAGTTTTTAATTTATTGAGACACTAATTAAATAAAATACACAACATAGAAAAGTATATCTATGTTGTGTATCTTACTTAGAGTTTCAAAACTTTTAAATTTGAACTCACAAAAATTAAAAATGATAAATAATCACAACATTTTAAAAAAGTTGTAGCTAACTTCATCTGTAATGAAGTTAACTACAAAATAAATGTAGAGTTCTTCCAACTTCTATATAATGTTTTCTGCAAAACTCACCAATCACAATAATCTGTCTAGAAATTATTAATCAACCTTGTAAGCACATTCATAAAACTATTATTTCTTGCTGAATATTTAGATTCAATGAACTTTCATCTATATTGTGTATTTTACATAACAGCTGTAACTTTTTTAGTCTTAGAAAATTTTGAATATTTAGTTCATTTTGGATTTTTTCCAAGCAATTGTTTATTTTCTCCAATTGTTGGGTATTCTCTGCCTGGAACTTGAGAGCATTTTTCAGCGTCTCCAAATCCTCCACTTCCGGTAGTTTCCTTTTTTGTTGCTTGTGCTGAGTGACTTTAGGAGTGTCACTTTTTTGTTTAGCTTGGGCCCAATTTTCCTTAAGAAAATACAAAATATTAATAATGAGACATTTTTTTTTACAAATACAATACAATGAGTAATCAAGAAGTGTAATTTTTACTAATTGCAAGTTAATATGGTTCTGGAGATTGAATAAGACTGGCTAACTTTATCTAAACTAAAAAGTTAACTTAATGAAACATCACAATAAAATGTACCAATCTATGCAAGTTGTTTCCACACTTTATCGATGAAATAAATGGACTAAAATAGTAAAAGCTGTCAAATTCCATGCAAAAATACCAAGAATAATAACACCAAAATTCTCATAAATGTACCTTTAAAATTTGATTCATTTAAAAAATCAATATTCTAGATTTTTTTATTTTCTCCAAAAATTAATGCTGTCTTTGCATGTTTAAAATACAATTATGAATCAAGTGAAAACATTGCATACTTATCATGGGTGTCACTTCAAAAAGATTTCAAGATTAAGCTTAGTTTTTGACCAACTAACATGACCTGTTATTTAATAGAATTTTTCAGAAAATTATAGCTCACTTTCCATGAGAATCATCCATATATTACATCGATGACTAATCTTAACTAAAAAACAATTTCCTTCATATTGTTAACTTATTTTTTTATAGCAAACAAATATAAAAATCACCTTGTTTATTTCTTTGCACCAATAGTTTAATTCTGACTTTTTCAAGGAGCCATTCATTAATGTTTTGTACTAGATCATTTTTTAAAAAATAATTTCAAATTAACTTTACCCAGTCTCAAAATATCAAGAAAAGAAATACAAACTCTTCAGATTTAACAATATAAATTTTATTGAAACAAGTTCAGTCACTCTCACTCTTTTATTGTGGCGCGACATCACTGACTATTTTGTAATATAAAAAACAGCAGTTTTTCTTTTTTTTTTTTTTAAATATTTTTCATTTATTTTTAACACAAAAAAAATTTCACATTTTATATGAAAAAATTTAACTTTTTTGAAAATTTAATTTAAAAAATAAATAATATTATTCTTCAGGGCTCGAAAAAACTCAGAAATTTTACCCGTTCCCGAGGACGGCTTGCCCAACAATGTACCAGTCCTCCTTTGACACTAACCCGTAGCTTCTAAATAAATAAAAATGTAATTTTCTCTCATTTATTACTAACATTTATATAAATTGCTCAATAAATTAGTAGTTACTAGGATTACATTATACAGTAAAAGAAATGCTAGGTTGCTAGTAGTAAAACGTAGTATTTCTTTTATGAAATAATTTAAATAACAAAGGTCAAGTTCTCTGGAATGTCAATTTATCCGAGGGTACTGCGTTTTCTAAATGAATCAAATATGACATTTGCCAGTTCCACAATCAAGCCAATGATTAACAGAGGTAATCATTGTCAGAGAAAACATCAATTCCACCATGATCAGTATGTTGCTGTATTTCTTACTAGATTAGAGGGTCATTTTAGAAGTGAGAAGATAAACTCTTGTAAGATAACAAAAATTTAAAATGTATCATGAACATTAACGAGAAAATGGCTGTCCGCTCGGAAGTTGGATTCGAGACATTTGTTGTCCGCGGGGAGTTTTTGACCGCCGAGAACGGGTGGAGAGGCAGTTTTTCGAGCTCTGTTATTATTATTAGAGGACAGAATTCAATCTATTTGATCTTTACTCAAGCACTGATTTCAGTCCTAAGGTTGCACCCATGACTTATGTACAGATTTGTTGTTTGAAAGATTGCTGTCCACATTCAAAATCATAGGTAGAGATTAGATAGTATAATTAATTTATATTTATTTTCTAACTATTTCTAGGAAAATAGTTTAAACCTATAAGAAAACTAAATGCATAACATTACGTGTTAACATTAAAAGCGAAAGCAGTAAAAAATAACATTTCAATGTATTTAATCTCAAACATACCTGATTTAAATCAAAACTATTTGAAAGAGGCAGGGCAGGGACATCTAAATTATCTAGAAGAAAGAAATAGACAGTTTACTATAGGGAAAACGTCTGCTAAAGAAAGAACAGCTCTAAGTAATTGAATATCACCCTATCTTCATTAACAACACCTCAACAGCTTAGTAAAATGCAGTGGAAGGCAAAATTTAATACAAATGTATAAGTTCTTTCCAATTGACCATTACACCAGACATATTAGTTATAAAAATTTAAAAAAAATTGAATAACTCAAAATTTTCATAAGGTAGGGTCACTGTTTTTGGAGACCTGATCAAGATTTACAGATACAACATAAGAAACATTGGTACTCCTATGGGCCTGAGAAAGAAATAAGTTCAAAATCAAAATAGCTTATTATACCAATATGTTTAAAACTTTCCTGTTTGTTTTGATGTTGTAGAAATAAATGGATATAAAAGTAACAAAAATGTTTGTGTCTTATGACTATTTAGTCTGAAGAATACAGAACATGGTTTTGAAACCAATTGAGCTCAGAAAATGCAGGTAATATGAAAATATATATGTATTACCATTCTCTCTGCTGTCTGCTACATCTACATTTTCTTTGTAAGATGTTTCAACCACATCCGAACCATTATTACACACTGCTCTTCTCTATAAAGAAAAAACTATGACAATTATTATGAATTCTAGGTCAAAACAAATAATTCGAATCATTACCAACACACTTATTTTAAACATCAATTGTTTCAAAATTAATAGCAATTTCTAACATTTAGGATTCATGCAAACAAGCATTAGTATACACTTTAAATCTATTATGAATCTTAAAACTTTGGCACCTGTTAGAAATTTTGTTATAGAAACAGTAATATAGAATTTCAAATTTTGTGAAGCATTCAACATTTACTTAAACGAAATGTAAAATACTTTTTTTTTAAAAATTAAAAAAAATAACAAAACAATTGTTTTTAAAATGCTTATATTAATTAGTTTGATCACAGAGCAATTGAAAACTTTATTAACTACTTACATATTGATAATATCAAAGTTAACTGATAGACAAAGCTATTCTGTTTATATTAATATAAAAGTAAGGTACATACCATGGGTTTAATTTGAAATTCCCTTACGCTATCAAAACAAACACCTTAAAATTTCATCTATCCTTAATAATAGTGCTATAATTCTAATTACAATTTCATTTAGAAACTTGCCATTAGGAGTGCACTCTATACGGCAATTGTTGTGTACTTAAATTTCAGTCGCTTTGAATTTTGATAAGAGTTTTCACATCTTACCACTTAACTGCTGGTGCAAATGAAATTTATAATTCCAACAATTTCGTCTTACACATTTTTTATATCTTTCGTCGATTTAATTCTCAAATTATCTAAATTGGAGTATTTTTTTTATCCTCTAATTCTTCTACTGTTGTGAAAATTTGTTCTTAGGAAAAATTGGTGTCATATTTATCATTAAAAGCTAATTATTGTTTTAGTTTTAAAATATTACTAAAAAATTAGACTAAAAAATTATATGGATTATAAATATGATGTGTCAATTATAAATATGATTGATAAAATATTTCCGTTATTTTGCCAACTTTTAGCTACAGCCACTTTATAGAAACTAATCCAAGCATGACTAAATAACTAAAAACAGATCACACTATATCAAAGCAAAAGAATAGCTTGAGCAGCAACAATAAGTTTAAATAGATTGACCTCTGTACATCACTGCGAGTAGCAATATAATTTTTAAACTTTACAAAGAACATTAATGTTGGAAAATGGGGATAACTGACATAGATGCGAAAGGGGGAGATTTCCGTATCGTGATCTGTGGCAGAAAAATCGCCAAGTCTTGGAAACTTCCAGGCAGTGGCCTGCAAGAAACTAATAAAAAAACATCCCAGAAAGGGACCAACTTGAAAGGAATAACTCACAGCCACCCCAGGGCAAACATCTACAGTTTTTTTTTTTTTAAATTTACAAGTTTAAAATCTATTTGGCACAGATCTACAGATCACGATACGGAAATATATCCGGCAAAATTACTAAGCATAATCTTCAGTTGTATGAAATGAAACAAAAATACATACCTCTACATTCCTACATTTTTGGACTTTCTCTTGATATTTTGCAGATAGCTTACGTTTTTTAGGCAGAGAAGGGAACAAAGCTTTGGGGACAGAATGTGCATGACTCACATTCATTGATTTTATCTCCAAAGATTGTTTATCTGGAGACAGCAACACACGAATATATGCTGGACAATTTTGGCGAAAGGTTCTGAAAAATAAAAAATTAAGTAAACTACATAGAGAAAAAATTCATAAACTGAACTCTGTAAGCTTGCAAACACAATATTAAACAAAGGAAGTAGCAGAGCAGTATACACCCAAAACAAGGCTGGTAAAATCAAACAATGGTAAATATACCTACTTGTTTTTCTCATAGTGGAAATATGAACGATATTGGATAACACACTGAATATCAGTGACGCAGCCAAGATTTTGGGAAGAACACAAATATAAGTTTCGAAATTAATTAGATAATACGAAATTTATTTACTTAGATTGGCGACTGCCATCCGAATTTCTTTTTTTATGAACTCTTCCACCAGCAATACATGCGTATTTTAATAAGTAATATTTCAATTCTGGTCGAGCCTTGTCTATACTTTTAGATTTCTTTGAAGCACTTCCTAAAGTTTTCGCTTCTCTTTTCCAGAAGGTCACTTTGTTTTCGTTCTCAAATTCATTCATAGCTTTTTCTAACTCTTCATATGAAGAGAATCGAGATCCTACAGAAATTATGTTCGCCATTATCTCATGTTTATTATGGATTTCACTTACGTCTGTACGTGCAACCGGTTGAGCAAGTGCGCATGCGCTGGAAATGCTTGGGCTGAATTTGAACATTTATTATAACATTTTTTTTAAAAATAACATTACTTAAAAAAAGTTACTTTAAGAACTTTATAAGTTACTTTTTTTACTTTAGAAGAAAGTAAATGGTTTTTAAAAAAAGATGCGTCTAAAGTAACTCAGCGAACGGGAGGAATTAAACCAAAGCTTCCTATCTAGAAAAGTGTTACAAAGGCGTTTTAATTTGAATTACATTTTTAAAAAATTGTTTTTCTTTGATGTTTCTATCGTATATATAGTTTAAATATATATGCAGTGTATAACAGTTGCATCCTCCCCTTTGAGAAAATTTTTGTGGGTACCTTTCAGCATGATATAAAATTGAGGAATGATAAAATAAATATTGAAACTACTTTTTTTTTAATAACTTTTGAAGTAAATTCGTTTTTCTTTATTTATACTTAGGGTGACCAGACGTCCCCGATTTCCGGGGATTGTCCCCGGCGAGGACCTCGTGTCCCCGGTCGGTTTGCGTCCCCGGTTTTGTCCCCGGTTATAAAATTGAAAAATTTTGTGTAAAATATTTGATAAAAATATGTTATATGTAATTTTTATTTTCTCAAAAATTTTCATACAAATTAATGTAAGCATTGAAAATTAAATGTAAACTAGTTTTTAAGAACACACTATAACTTATACTACAGAAATTTTGGAACACATAACTTTAATATCTAGTTATGTTTACATTTTTACTAGGCTGTACGCCAGACATGTTTATATAAGAAAAGAAGTTTAAAACAAGACGTAACATGAATATTAGTTGCTGCTTTTAAAACAATTAATATCTTGGGTTACATAAACTGCCAATATTAGCTAATTTCCACTAAAAACAACAACAATTACTACATTTCCGTTTTATTTTAGAAAAATAACTAAAACATTTTATAATCAGGTAAACATTTTATAAATATCTAACCAATAAAGTATAAAACCATTTTTTATGAAATTGTTATTATTATCACTTACGACTAATTAATTTTTATAAATTCTAATTATTCTACATTTTGAAAACCTCATAATTTGTTATCGTAATAGATATTTAGAAAAATATTTTTATTTCTTTAAAATAGATGTCAATATGGCAACATAAACAAAAAAAAGAAAATGTCATTATTTGGATGATTGGAAAAACGAGTTTCCATTTATTGAACCGAATCCTAATAATTCTTCCAAAGTAAAATGTACAATGTGTAGAGCAACGTTTTCAGTTGGAAGTGGAGGACGAACAGCTATAGCAGATCACATTCTTACAATTAAACACAAAGAAGCTTTGGCAGCAAAAACAAAAACGAAATCCGTCAAACAGTTTTTTCGTAAGCTGGAACCATCCAAAGAAGAGTTTGACTTAGCAACATATGAAGGAACGCTTGCATTTCACACCATTCGTCACAACCAATCGTTTCGCAGCATGGACTGTACTTCAAATTTACAGAAGAAATTTGTAGACAAGAAATTTTCTTGTGCCCGAACAAAATGCGAAGCTATCGCTGTCAATGTTTTTTCTCCGTGGGCATTTCTTGAATTGAAGAAAGATTTACAGTCTGTTCAATTTGTAACAATATCTTACGATACTTCCAATCACAATCATGTAAAATTACTTCCTATTTTAGTGCGGTATTTTCAGTGGGACTGTGCTAAAGATCCAATTAATAATAAACTTGTATCACTAAACGAAATTAAAGGAGAAACTGTAAAGATTTTATCTTCAGAAATATTAAACGCACTATTCGAGTTCCAATTGAAGGATAAAATGGCTGGTTTGTCTGCGGATAATACTAACACTAATTTTGGAGGATTGTTAAGAAGAGGAACAGAAAATGTTCATACTAAACTTCAAACTGAGTTAGGAAGAGATATTTTTGGTTTTGGGTGTAATGCGCATATTATACATAATGGCGCTAAAACTGCTTTTGATTGTTTGCCTGTAGATATTGAAGTTATGGTATCTAAACTTTTTAGTTATTTTAAAATTTACACAGTCCGAATTGAAAGACTGAAAGAATTTTGTGAGTATGCTGACCAAGAATATCATAAAATTTTAGGACACATTCATGTTAGGTGGTTGACATTACTTCCTGCTGCAGAAAGAATTCTTAAAATTTATTTATCTCTTAAAGAATTTATGTTGTCTGAAAAAAAGTGCCCAAAAATCTTGAAGAATTATTTTGAGAGTGAAACAACCGAGTTATGGTTGTTTTTTGCGCATTCGCATGCTGCAATTTTTAATCAAAGCATCTTGAAAATTGAAAGCGATGACAAATGTGTTATTGAATCTGGAGCGGTTGTCAAGGATTTGATATTTAAATTGAAAGCACGAAAGAATGCCAAATTTGTTCCACTTGTTGTAAAACCTGAATTGACTAAATTGATTGCTGAGAATATCATTACTGAAGATTCTTATTTAGAAACGTCGAAAGAATTCTATGAAGCTGCGATTTCATATTTAGAAGCTTGGAACGATAACAACGATGATATGTCTGATTTGAAGTGCCTTCTTTTAGATTGTAAGCCTTCACGGTCTGAATTCGACGAGGCAGTTCTGTCTCTCTCTTCAAAATGTGCAATTTTGAATGTTAATTCCGACGATTTATTTGACGAGTTTACTTATCTTGAAGGTTATTTGGATTCAAAAGACGATAAATGGTACCAATCCGTACACATAACAGACAAATGGCGCGAAATAAACAATTATTTTCAAAAAAACAATATACCATTTACAAATATCAAAAGAATTGTTGAGCTTGCAATGTGCTGGCCAAGCATCAATGCGCCTGTAGAACGGGTATTTTCGCTCATAAATAACTATTGGACTAATGAAAAATCGCGAATGGATGTGAATACAGTGAAAACGGTTTTATCTGTACTGATTAATTTTGATTTTTCATGTGACATATTTTCTCAATTACTTGAAAAAAATCCTGAAATTTTAAAGAAGATTCATGCTTCAGAAAAATGTTATGATCACGATTTTAACGATATAATTTGTATACTAAATTATAAAAAAAATGTAAACGAAAAAAAAATATTTTTTAAGATAAATGATCAAATTTTTTTTTCCAATTTTTTCTGTCGATAAAATTGGGGGGGGGGTAGAGATGAGTGTCCCCGGCATTGCCCGAAAAAATCTGGTCACCCTATTTATACTGGTTCATTTTTACCAATATTTGTCTATTTATAAAAGTCTGAACTGTTTTGAAAGTTTTCCTTTCATGAGTATATCCCAATTAGAGGGAATGGAATAAATAACCTGGAATTATAAGTTTTTAGGTAAATAAAAAAAAATTTAAAAATTTTTTTTATTATCTTCTAAAAAATTTCCTTGAATTTTTTTTTTGAAGTAATGTAAATAATGCTAAACCCCTATCATTTTTTTATTTTAACTTTTATAATTTTTTCTTCTAGATAAAATTAATTAATTATTTTTTAACTCAAAACCCTTCAGCATAATGAAATAAAATTGAGAAATGAAAAAATAAATGTCTAAATTACTTTTTTTTCAATAACATTTGAAGTAAATTCATTTTTCTTTATTTATACTGGTTCATTTCTACTAATATTTGTTTACATATTAAAGTCTGAACTGTTTTGAAAGTTTCCATTTAATGAGTTGATCGCAATTAGAGGGAATGGAATGAATGGTATATGATCTGGAATTATAATTTTTTTAAACAATTCTTTTTTATTATCATCTTCTAAAATATTTTTTGGAATTTTTTGTTGTTGAAAGAAATGTAAATAATGCTAAACCCCCATTTTTTAACTTAACTTTCATAACTCTTTCTTCTAGAAATTTTTTTTTATTTTTTATCTCAAAACCCTTCAGCATAATGAAATAAAATTGAGAAATGAAAAAAAATAATGTTGGAACTACTTTTTTTTCAATAACTTTTGAAGTAAATTCATTTTTCTTATTTATATTTGTCTATATATAAAAGGCTGAACTGTTTTGAAAGTTTTCATTAAAAGAGTTGATCCCAATTACAGGGAATGGAGTGAATGGTATATGACCTGAAATTTATAAGTTTTTAGGTAAATAAAATTTAAAAATTTTTTTTTTTTTAAAATATCAAAAAAATATTAATTTCTGAAATATTTTTTTGATTTTTTTTTGTTTTTTGAAAGAAATGTAAATAATGATCATTCCCCCTTTCATTTTTTTTTAACTGATAATTTTTTCTTCCAGGTAAAATTAATTATTTTTCAACAAAAACCTGTACACCACTGCTCTCTAAAAATAAAATCCTTTCATTTTTAAGAATAAAAAAAGATAGAAAGAAAGAGATCTGAACAACATTTCATAAACATTTTAATTCAGTAAAATGAATTATTCATTCAGAGAAGCTTATCAAACAGAAAAACAATTTTATAGAATTAAATTATAATTTAGTAACTGTAAAATGGTCTTTACGGCAGTATAATGCAGTACTTGTGATTCCCCCCCTCCCATCACGTTTGATGGCTTTGCACCAAGTTTGTCTAATTCTCCTCTTGGTACACTAAAAAATAATTTAATTAGTGCGTTTATCGTAGCATTATTGCAACATGGTACAATGCAACACTTGTAGTTTTAGCTTGGAGCCATTTTTCAGAATTCATACTCGGCGCACATGCTTTCGAAACATGATGGGAGTTGTGGTTGACTGTGACGTCATCAGAGCAGATGGGAAACCTAGCAGCGATTTAGGGGGAGGGGCTAATCAAGCGATTTTTATTATTAATAAAAAAAATAACTAGTTATCGCACTGGTCTGAAATTGGTGTCTATCTTCATAAAATGGCATGTTTCATTTTAAAACAGAAAAAAAAAAGCATGCAGGCACCTCACCCGAGTACAAAAGTTAGGTTATTCAACCTTACGAATTCAACTTTTCATACGTCGCATCATGTACAATAATAAATCACACCATAATAAACACGACGGTGAACAACTAGAATGCTATTTTGTGAGAATATTTTATTACACACACACACACAAAAAAAAATTACATTATGCAAATCAAAAATTACAATAAACCTGGTTGCTCATAGTAACTTTTGGATACTATGAGCAACCAGAAAGATGTCAATTTTACAAAAATATTTCATTGCACACACAACAAAAAAATAGATTTAACATTAGGAACATGATTGCTAAAAAAGTTGAGCATCCTTACTTTACATAAAATGTGTGAATAAATCACTTCACATGAACATCATTATAATAGCATAAAAAATTCTTAAAAAATAAAATGAAATAAATTTTAAAGAATGTCTTTTACAAATTTATATAATTTCATTAAAAAACTTGCAAATGCAATTTTGAAGTAAGTGCATTTTATTTTAATTTTCTATAAACAAAAAAAATAGAAATATATTTCGTACAAGATATGGAAACTGTACTAAAAATAATTATCTTTAAAAAATATCTTTGAAATATTTTTTATACTTATTTTCTTTATCTATTATGTTATAATACACAGTATAAGTATAAAATAAAAAAGTGAAGTGCATTTTATTCTAACCGCTTATAGAAAAATAGAAATATTTATAACAACATATTGAAAATGTGCTTAACCATTATAAGAAAAGAACTAAAAAGTAATATCACACAGTTATACATAAAGACCTCATGAATTTTTTTTTAATGAACTGGGCATTTAAAAAGGAAATTAAAATCATTTGTATATTTCCTTATTAAATTTAATTATTTAGTAATATAGTTTTGGAATTTAAAAAAAAAACCTAATTATGATCTACTAATTTCGATTAATTTTTAAGAGTTTGAGTAATCTTGTGAATTCTTCAAATTTTTGGTTGAATATACACTCTAAAACGTTCAAATGTGATTAAAAAAATTCATGATTAGTAAATATTTAAATGACTTGCCTTGAAGAACAAGAAACTGATATTATGAAGCAATCTTTACTACTTTATATGTTTCATAATCCAACTAAATAATACTTCTCACCGGTATGAACACGATCATGTCTAGTGAGATTACCTTTTAGTGAAACACTCTTATTACATATACTATAAGAAAAAAGCTTCTCACCAGTATGAACATGACTGTGTTCTTTCAGATTAATTTTTGTGAAAAACTCTTATATACTATAAGAAAAAGGCTTCTCACCTGTATGAACACGATTGTGTCTGGTCAGATTACTTTTTTGTGAAAAACTCTTATTACATATACTACAATAAGGCTTCTCACCAGTATGAACACGACCGTGTGCATCGAGATCACTTCTTTGTGAAAAACTCTTATTACATATACTACAAGAATAAGGTTTCTCCCCAGTATGAACAAGACTGTGTTTATTCAGAATCCTTCTTTCTGAAAAACTTAAATTACAAATAATACAAGAAAAAGGCTTCTCACCTGTATGAACACGATTGTGTCTGGTCAGATTACTTTTTTGTGAAAAACTCTTATTACACATACTACAAGAATAAGGCCTCTCACCAGTATGAACACGACCGTGTGCATTGAGATCACTTCTTTGTGAAAAACTCTTATTACATATACTACAAGAATAAGGTTTCTCCCCAGTATGAACAAGATTGTGTTTATTCAGAATCCATCTTGCTGAAAAACTTAAATTACAAATAATACAAGAATAAGGTTTCTCACCAGTATGAACACGACTGTGAATTGTCAGACTACTTTTTTGTGAAAAACTCTTATTACATATACTACAAGAATAAGGCTTCTCACCAGTATGAACACGACCGTGTGTATTGAGATCACCTTTTTGTGAAAAACTCTTATTACATATACTACAAGAAAAAGGCTTCTCCCGGGTATGAACACGCCTGTGTTGGGTCAAATTTGCTTTTGCTGAAAAATCTTGATTACATATATTACAAGAATAAGGCTTCTCACCAGTATGAACGAGACAGTGGCGTGACAGATTACCTTTTTGTGAAAAAATCTTATTACATATACTACAAGAATAAGGCTTTTCACCTGTATGAACACGACTGTGACTGGTCAGATTACTTTTAAGTAAAAAACTCTTATTACAATCACTGCAAGAAAAAAGATTCTCACCAGTATGAACACGATTGTGTGTAGTGAGATGACCTTTCAGTGAAAATTTTTTATTACATATACTACAAGAATAAGGTTTCTCACTGGTATGAAGACGACCATGAGTAGTGAGAACACTTTTTTGTGAAAAACTTTTATAACATATACTACAAGAATAAGGCTTCTCACCAGTATGAACACGACTGTGTCTGTTCAAATTACTTTTTAGTGAAAAAGTTTTATTACATTTACTACAAGAATAAAGCTTGTTACCAGAATGAACAAGACTGTGTTGTGTCAGATTTCCTTTTTGTGAAAAACTCTTTTTACATATACTACAAGAATGAGGCTTATCACCAGTATGAACAAAACTGTGTTTATTCATAATCATTCATTGAGAATATCTTATTACCTATACTACAAGAAAAAGGCTTCTCACCAGTATTAATTTTACAGTGTTTAGTCACACTTTTTTCCTGAAAACCTCTTGTTAGAATAACAAGAATAAGGTTTACTTACAGAATGATACTTATTCTGAATTAAATTAAGCCTTTAAAAACATGTGGTGCAAAAAAGAGCATGCTGTATCACGTCATTTACTTTGACTAAATTTTTAATTAAGTAAAATATAATAATGAAGAAATATGATTTATTAATAGGTGCATCTGTGAAAGCATTAATTTAAATTATATTCAGATGTAAAATTTTTTTATTTTTCGTGGACTACTTTAATATTTCTCTTTTGTGGAACATACCAAGATACAAATCTATATTAAATTATTTTACTTTATGATATTAACTAATACGAGCTTGAAACTATCAAATTTGATTTCATTAGTATTTTATCCACAAAGGCACAGCAGAAATATAGTTCATTATAAACCAAGGCAACAAAAAATTTTTTCACTTTCACAGACACTTTTTTGAAATTATCTATAAGACATAAAAAAAAAACTTTGATTTCCAATTTTTAAAGCAATGTTCTATCATGCACAAGAAAAGCAAACTCTTATTCACTAACATAAATGCGAGAAAGTCAACTAAGTTTAATTTTATTTACGAGTATTAAATTGCAAACTGAATACAGAAAATATTTTCTCAGTATGAACAGGAAAATCACAATTTAAATTTCTTGAGTGTAAATATATGTTTTACACATATGTTTTATGAAAGTGACACACTGCTTAATTATCTACAACTGTAATCATTAATCTGAAATTTTATTTATAACTGTTTAATAATGCAATGCATGAAAAGTTCGTTTAAAGTGTTACTTAAACCAAATTATTCTTGATTAATTTATCACAATGAGTGCTTAAATAAATTATTTCCATATTATGAACACAAAACAATGAAATGCACCAATTCTTTTAGTATAATTTTTTAGAACAGAAGTAAAATTTTTTATAACAATGAAGTATAATGATAAACTACAATTGGAAACTTATCAACACAAACATTAAATTTCCATGTATGAAAATAATTTTCCGTTAAAACATCATTGCAACTATGTCACACATTGCACAGAGACTATTTGCTGTTAGTGTTGCTACATAGAATGAGATTGCCTTTATTAATATTTCTTTTAGCCATGGAGAATTTTCACACAATGATTGAATAGTTTATTGATTATATAAATCGTTCAGAACATACAATATTTTTTTAAAAAAATATTTATGCACGCTCAATAAGAATTTTATTAACTGTCAGCAAAAAGATATTTTATCATTCACATCGATTTCTTTTCCGTATAAAGAAGATAATCTATGAATTAGATCTGCATGGAAATAACCTTTTTAAAACGCTTTCTATATTGTTCCTATTACTGCGAGGGTAATTCACATAACATATGTGATATTATGAATACGCAGGCTTATAAATTTGATTCAAGAAGTTGCAAATCAAAAACAATTTTTTTAAAACTTTTCTTTACACAAATATGGTTAATTAATGCATTCTTCGGTCTAAGTAAGACATTTTGTTTTAATATAGTTTATCTCTCAATTTTTTCACAAATAAGCAAATATATCCAGCGAGTATGGTAAAGTGCGGCGAGCATGTAACCGGTAAGATTTGTTTACGTTATCGGTTGCCTACTTCTAGTCATCTGATCTCCATCTCCAGGATCTTGGGACATTTTTTGACCAGTAGAGGACGCTACTTTTTCCTATCAGCCTATCCTTTTTTTTCAGAGAGTATTCCTACTGCATTGTAGAAAATCGCATATCGATTCCGAAGATGCCACAGAGAAAATGATCAGTATCTGAAATAGAACTTTTAGTTTCAGTTTAGATTCCTCACCTGCAAGTGTTGCATCGAAACGCACCTTCTGTATTCTAAATTTTAAATGTTCTAAATTATTAATAAATTGTGCTTGTTAAATCTCAAGTAGCACCTAATACAGATGGTGTTTTCTACACTAGGAAACACTGCGAGCTTCATACCGCCTATACTTCCGGGTTACTGTTTCCGGTGTATTTTAAAGCCATTTGGCTCAAAACGTGATCATTGTTTTTTGAGATTCCTGCAAACGTAGTATTTGATTACTTATTACTTGTGCTTACAATGCTAACAATACTTGTGTTTACAATGCTAACGGTTCTAACACTAAAGGTCTGGTTTCTTAGGACAAGCGCCTTATCTGGGCGTCAGCGGGACATCAACGTCACGCTGACGCCAACAAAATACTGGTTTGTTAGCTCAAGGCCTGGTTTCTTAGAACTAACGCCTTATCTGGGCGTCAGCGGAAAGTTGACGTAGATCTGACGCCAAAAAAAATACTTTTTTGTTAGCTCAGCATGAGCAGTCGGTCCAACGCAGACATTATCTCTCTCATTGCGCATGCGTTAATAACGTAAACAAATATTTATTTTGAATTTGTATTGATTTTGTTATTGTCGACCAGTGTTTTAGAGAACAAATAATGACTTTGTCCAAGAAAAAACACATTATAGCTGAGCTAAATGAAGAGTGCTATGTTTAATGAAGAAGCTATGTTTAATGTCAAAATCAAAATCTTGGCTGATTTCAATGTGCTGTTGGATGTTGTCTGCCATTGCTTCTGTGGTTAACGTCACGTTGTAATCCAACTGCAGTTGAGTTGGACGGTAATTGTAGTTCAAGATGAGCGTACGATGACGTATACTATCAAACTCACAAATGGACCAATCAGAGGTTAGCGCTGATTTCCAGCTGACTGCGTCCTGTCCTAAGAAACCAGGCCTTAACGTATAAGATAGCGCACAGCTTGAAAAAAGAACAAACAGTAATAAACAAATGGAAAGAGGCCAAATTAGGACGGTTAAAAAAGAGAGTTATTCAAAATCTATCAACCATGTCACCTTTTTTAACACTATATCCATAAATAACTTAAACAAATTTTCTCTTCAAACTCACAATAATGACTTAATAACATTAATATCTTAGAAAATACGGCAGATTTGCGATCAGAAATTATCTAATTTACTTCTTTTATTGCAAATAAAATTGTCCGTTTGAAAATATCGCCTCGCAGAATGAACAGTAGTAAGCAGTTGCAAACTTTCAAACCGGAACTGGAGCAGGCATTGAGCTCGAGATAGTTATTGTTTACATTTATATTGAAAACATCATCTATTAGATAACATCAGAAAATTAGTAAAATCTAACGTTATCTTGCTCAACTTCTAGTATTAGAAAGATACAGGAGGTCGCTGCTTGCTCTGCATTATTACTATTATTATTATTATTTCAGTGGCAGGCAGTGAACTTTCGTTCTTCACCTTGGAAGATGCCCAGTGGGCACCTGTGAACCAAGGTCACGATGGTGAGCAACATTACCCACTCCACACTGCCATAGATACCCATTCATAGGGTGGGTCACATTCACACATCACACAACAGAGAACAACACACAGAGAGAGAAACATCCATGCCCTGAGCGGGAATTGAACCCGCAGTTCCTGGCTTCACAGTCAGGCACGCTGACCGCTCGGCCATCTGGCTGGCTCTCTGCGTTATATAATATTAGATTCTGTGCAAACTATTATCATGTAGCTTTCGCCGTAATATTATTTTGCATTAATTTTGATGCTATATAATATTAGATTTTTTATTTTCAGATATTATCCTGCGTTGCTTTTTATTTTTGGAGTAAGAAAGAGGAAGATTTGGATGGTAGAAGAATAATTCGGCGATATAATTTTATTTAATTTTCTGTACTGCTGTGAAGCAGTTAAACATAGAACAATAGTTTTATCATGTCATTCCATGCATTGTTTACTTAGCAATACGGCAATACTAAATAAGATTATTTTAGCGAACTCTGCTACCATCCATTTTCCTCCCTCTTACTCCAAAGTATATCCTATGTTCAAAAGATTTTTTTGAATATTTCAAATTTATTTAAAAAATAATACTATATCACAGCTTTTATTGATATTTTTTTCCTTTCTTCATACAATGGGTTTACTAACAAATTTTATATCATTATTAATTTTCAAGTCTTTAATTTTAAAATGCACTCTTAATTTTTTTCAGAAATGAGGTTATTTTATCTTTTCTCAGAATCAGAAATTGTTTCTTTTCGAAATTTTCCCATCAGAAGAATCTTAGATAATCACGGTTTTCTTTTGCTATGTAAATAATAAATAAGAAAACTTTTTTATAGTCATATACAGCACCAATACGATTTATTTGAAATCGCATCAACAGTGGTGGTATTTCTTCTAATAAATTGGGCCCATTTTCCAGACAGTCGTTTAAAGAAGGGGAGTCTTTCTCCCTTGAATATGCATCAAATATTGGCCTTACTCGAGTTGTAGAATGTTCTTTAAAAACTACTCTGTATGGCAGGTGACGAGAAACGTTTTTAATTTCAGAGTGTGGAACTAATTCACATCTTCCTTCAATTTTGAGCTCGTTTTAAGTTGAAAGGCATCTTGCCTCAACAACTGACTTGTTTTCCCGTAGAGAGTGTTCAGCTCCTAATCATGGTAAATGAACTTCATATCGTCCCATTTTATTCGTCGAAACTGTTATTTGAAAATAATTGAAAGCGGCAATCTCTAATTTTTTTCTCGGCCTCGTCTCAACGGGATCTCTTATGCCTAAAATGTCAATGTCCCACAGTTCAGATACGCTGCAGGTTTGAAATAGAAGTGAGTTTATGGTGAGTGATGTTAATCCATTTCCTTTCTCTTCTTAAACTCTTGCTTCACGTAACAATCCACCCTAATTTAGTTTCGTTTTCGCTAGTTTAGTTTACCACATCTCCGTTAATGCTTCTTTCCAGTGAAGAGTTTGCGGCCATGTCAGCTCCAATGAGTAATTCAGTTTTTGGTTGAAATTCGCCGTAATCTGTTATCCAAATTTTTAATTTTTTCAACTCTTTTTCTCTAACCTCTTTTTGCAGTCTTAGCAGCTTTCTAAATATTACGCTTTAATCTAATACTGGGATAGTACAATTGTAATTATTATTTAAACTAGCAACAGTTATACTAAAGCATTTATAAGATTTATTCTGTTCAGTGGATATTCCGTACAAAATATGGATAAAATCTTTTAAGCCTTTTGAGACATTACCCATATTATTGGCCGTCTCTTTCAGAATATAAGATTGCTGAGAGCCACTGTCCATAATTGCAAGTACAATTTGTTCTTTTAAGCTTGATTTGAGTTTCACTAATATCAGGTGTAGTATAACTTCTCCAGAACAGCTGATAGCTTCTTCTACAAGTAGCAAGAACAAAGTAGCTTTTTCTTGAATTTCATTTTCCTTTTAATTTCTTTGTACTTTTTTAAAGTTTTGTTTGCCTTTAAGAACCTGGACACATTCTCGCCTAATGTTGAAAATCCACAATTGTCTTGCACGCTTTTGAACGATGATTACCTTCAGACGCGAAAAACAGACCTTTTCTTGTTTAATCTTTCCAATGTTTTCTTCAAAAAGAAAAAAAAAAAGAAACAAACAGTTCTTACTTTCGTGGACCCTTTGGAAAAAAATAACGGGATACATTTTCTTTTTTCTGGTTGCCAGGAAAAAAAAAGCCACTTGGAATCGATGCTATTTCATCACCTGCATTTAAATGCAAAAGATAAAACGATGTCTTATCTTCAGCCTACTTAGGTTTCTTAATGTCAAAACCACCAAAAGCTATGGATATTCTTTTTTCGCTTTCATCTTCTCTTCTCATAAATCTTTTCTATCTTTTGGAATTTAGCCAACTTTTGACTGTCGTTGCCACTTTTGATTGTCGTTACTCTATCAGCTCCTCATGAGTACGAAACTCCACTAACGGGAACAATATTGGATCGCGCATTTTTGTGATTACACCTAAAATTTCCAAAACCCTTAATTATGATTCTATTTGATTATACTTAGCCTTCAACGTACCACTGTCAAATCAGTAGATTAACAGTTATCTAGTTCCATTTTAAATATTATGAAAATAACCTAGATGTTATAGACATTTTCGTTTTTTATCATCCTGAGGATCCTGGATACTTTATGCGTTAAAATAACATATAACATTTTTTGGGAAAATTTTTAATGTTTCATTGACAATTTAAAGAAGGGTTATGATTTTTAGCTAATGTATAAGCTTGAAATAATTTTTTTTTTATGTTTGTTATAATCAAAATTTTTTGGTTTGAGGAAACCATTATCATATCATAAAATCCTTTATGAGAGAAAAAAGATACTATTATCATATTTTTAATATGATAATAAAATAATGATATAAAATGATATAAGATATAATATGATATAAAAATAAAATAAGCAAAAATAAAAAGAATTACTTTGTTTTATTTTTAACTTTAGAAATAATAATTTTTTTAGTTTAAAAATAAATTAATATCTTAGAAACAGTTGTGCTCGTATAAAATAAACTCGATACATACATAAGGAAACACTTTAGTCGATACAAATCTTAATCAGAAAAAAAAAGACGTTAATAAAGCACACTAAAGTACTTAAAATGATAAATTATAGTTTCAGTCAGGACCGTCTTAATAACACGTAGGGCCCTCGGGCACAGAAATGTTTTGGGCCTTATAACAGGACATACCGCTTAAAATCGAACTAAGAAGCTTCACATACACAAAATAAAGCATTTTTAACGTATGTAATAATTTGAACAAATTTAAATACATTTTGATTTAAATGTGTTTAAATTTGTTTTTAGTAGACACAAAAAAACTGAATTCACCTAAAAACTTCATTGGGAAGTAGAAAAATAGATTTCGGTTGTTTTTTAAGTTTCCCTGGTGATAAACTATTCAAATTATTGTTGTTTGCATGATAATCAATCACTATTTGCAGAAAGAAAAACAAATTACACACTTTATACCAGCGGTTCTTAACCAATGGGTCGCGACCCAAAATTGGGTCGCGAAGCATATTTCTTGGGTCGCGCTGAGTCGAACCAAAAAAGTTAGTAATACACCAAATAATAAGTAATACCAACACCTCCTAGAATAAGTCATTGTGGCTTACTCAGCCTAATTTTGACTTTTTTTTGGGTCGCGACATGAACATATTTCTCAAATTTGGGTCGCGGCTTAAAAAGGTTAAGAACCACTGCTTTATACAATAGAATATATTTATTTAAAAAAATATCTAAGGCAATTTTGTTTATTTTTAGTTCTTTTTAAGTACAATTTATAAAAAGTGAGGTTCTCAAGGGCCCCCTGAGTGCCTGGGGCCCTCGGGCACTGCCCGGTGGTGCCAATGCGTAAAGACGATGCTAGTTTCATTCTATAAATAATAACCTTCCTCGGTGTCTGAACGTCAAATAAAGGTAGAGAAGTAAAAAGACAATTCCCTGCTGATAAACTATTCAAATTATTGTTGTTTGCATGATAATCAATCACTATTTGTAGAAAGAAAAACAAATTACACACTTTATACAATAGAATATATTTATTTAAAAAATATATATAAGGCAATTTTGTTTATTTATAGTTTTTTTTAAGTACAATTTACAAAAAGTGAGGTCCTCAAGGGAGCCCCTGAGTGCCTGGCCCTCCGGCACTGCCCGGTGGTGCCCATTCGTAAAGACAATACTGGTTTTATTCTATGAATAATAAACTTGCTCTTTGTCTGAACGTCAAATAAAGGTAGAGAAGTGAAACGACAAACACAACAAAAAACCTCATACGTTTAAATTGGTTTAACCAATAGGGACACTGTAACAAATTTGAACAAGGAAATAAAAATGGGGAGATAAGCGAATTAATAAATCTTACTCTCGCATTTGTATAGAACCTACCTTCACTTTTGATGGTAAATTTTATCGAATGATTGATGACTCAGCTATGGGTAATCCTCTCATCAGACCCTTAAGTGACCTTTGCTGTATATGCACTATTTATATATGTCAACGATTGCTTCACTTTGGACAATGTTTATGTTCTCAACATTATGAATTCTATTGAGGGGATTATCACGTCCGGGTCAGCAATGAGGTGATTTATTTATTGACTATGCCAACCTTCATCTATCGAAAGATACCTCATGATAGAATCAAGTTAACATGTCTTATATACTATTGAATTGGTATTCAATATTTATAGTGGTAGTTACGCCACATTATCGATTCTTGCATACAATTTACGTTTGAAACAGAAAATAATAAGCGTTTGCCAATCTTTAGACGCTCTCATTATTTGTAATTGCCGTAAATTTCTCACTAATGTTTATCAAAAACCACTTGCTGTTTCACTCCCCTCTCATAATAGTTGATTCCATGCTTCCAACCAAAAGTTAGTTACGCACACTTGTTTGCCGTTCTTTCAAAGTTTGTTCAAACAGAATTCTTTAACTCAATGAAGAGCTGTTTTACCTTAAAGTTATCTCGCTGTAGACCGCTGTTTCCTTTCTGATATTACCGACTCCAACTAATGTGATCGGTAGCGCGTAAATAGCATTAAGCAACAATGGCCCTTAAAACCTCGCCAATCACAGTTCTGGATGCCAATCAGAACTGCAAAAAGCGCATACAGTAAAAACGCTACCCAAGGGCCATTGAATAGCCGCTATCCTCCAGGCCTCCAGCTAAGATGACAGGATTTCGTTGCGCGGACTTACTTCCACTTTCTCTTTATGCTTTTTTCTCTTCAAAATCAACTTTCAAACTGACCACACGTGTTTCACTGTTGCAGGCGCTTCAACTTGCCGGTTCAAGTAGCTATTTGTTTTAGATTTAAAGGAGTTAAAGAAAACTATTTGAAATGGGGGAAAAGTTAAACTACAAAGTTGGTAAGTTTAGCAAAATTTGTAACAAGCATTTATTCATATTTGCTATTAGTGTACTGTTATGTAACAATCAAAATCCCTCTTTCTATATAATAATGCTTACTGAAATTTTTAAGATATGATTTGTATCGCTATGTTGTATCTGCACAATTTATAACTTTATTTTAATAAAATTTTTTTGTAGTTTTATAAATTATTTAATCCTTTTGTTTTATATTTTAGCCGACATTTCGCAGGCCGATTTTGGACGAAAAGAAATCATCATGGCTGAAAATGAAATGCCTGGATTAATGGCTCTCCGAAAAAAATATGGACCTTCAAAACCTTTAAAGGGGGCCAAAATTGCTGGTTGCTTACATATGACCATACAGACAGCTGTTTTGATTGAAACACTTTTGGATCTAGGAGCTGAAGTAAGAAAAATTTGAACTTTATTTTAATTTTTTTAAATAATTAGTGTTTTTTTTGCATACATAAATAATGTACATAAAAAACTTACATTGTCAAATCTATACTTGTTAACTTACTTGCATATCTTTAAAACTCTTTAGGTACAGTGGTCAAGTTGCAATATTTTTTCAACTCAAGATCATGCTGCTGCTGCCATAGCAAAACGAGGTGTGCCAGTATTTGCCTGGAAAGGTGAAACTGAAGAAGAATATATTTGGTGTATTGAACAGGTAAATTTTTTTCTAAATAATACATTTTTAGCCCTATTTTTTAGCTTTGTTAAATTTAGCAGTGTTCTGCGTGAAATAAAATATTAATTAATGTCGTGCTTTGTAGAGTCCTTATATACTTAGTTCCCAAGTATATTATAAAATTATCAGTAATTTTCTAATGATCTCCATTTAAAATTTTGAACTGAAATTTTAAAATTTCCACTGAAAAGATATGTTAAATTAACATGTAAGTTGCATATATGCCAAGTTAATTATTATTTTTGTTAGCTGTAATTGTAATTATTTTTCCATTAAAACATTCTTAAGCTGCAATTATTTTTCCATAAAATTTGAGACTTTGGCAATAACTAAGAAATGATTGCGTGAACTTATTGAATGTAAAGAACATGTAGTTATGCCACTTTTTTTTATTTTTAAACTTGTGTGAAGTAGCTGGGTAATTTAAGCTGGCACAATCTAGAACTCAAAATGATGGGATTTTGTAGATTAGTTGGAAATAACCGAGGAACAAGATATAAAGGGGGAAAAAAAATGTCAACAAAATAATGCTGATTACTACTTTGAAATTTCTAAATATTTTTTAGCATATTATTATAACACTGCCAGCCTTCTTCTAAAGAATCAAGTTGATTTAAAATAATAATTTTTAACAAAATTTGGGATATAATTGTTGTATATTAACTAAAATTTTGTTGGGGCTAGTTCTTGTAAATCATAAGATGTACCTGTGCCAAAAACATATTTTAAAAAAATAGTCTTTATATAACTTTAATGATATTTCTGAAGTAATGAAGGTTAATTATGTAACCTTCGTTTCTTTGTCATACAGTTTACTGAATTATTTTAGTCTATAGAATTTCTCCATTCATCTGAAGCTGTGGTGGTGACTATTGCTGCGAGGTTTAACATTTCTAATAGGGGTGTTGGGTCAATATTTAACTGGTTTTGACTAGTCTGCAAGAGAAAAGGAATCTGAGTACGGAAACTATTTTCTTTTTAACTATCCCATTTCTTATTTCTATAGCAGCAAACTCCTTTAGATTTTGTGGTGATGAGTTATTTCTCTCGACAAATTTAAGCCTGTTGTATTGCTCTTTGTGATACATATTTAAAATATTTAATAAGATTCATTAAAATTAAAAGTAATTTGAATTTGCATTATTAAAACTTTTATTTTAATGTGTACACCATAAAATTCAACTTTTCTTAGCATAATTTTTGCTATTTGACATATTTTTGATCGATAAGTATTGTTTTGGCTGCAATAAATTAGAGTAAAGACAATATTGACTTAATCACTTGTATTTTATTGTAGACCATTGTTTTTGCTGATGGTCAGCCTTTAAATATGATTCTTGATGATGGTGGAGATCTCACTGCCTTAGTTCATGAAAAATATCCTCAATATCTTTCTGGTAAATATCTAATGTTATTGCACCTTCTACTCAATGTTTTAAAGCATTTTGTATTCAATTTGATTTTTTAGTTGACCTTGATGAAAGATTCTTTAAATCAATTAAAAAAAATAGTGCAAATCCTCAATATACAAACTTTTTTTTTAAAAAAAAAAGTAGTGTGTTTTATTAATCATGATTTGTGATTTAATTGAATGAATTGGAACTATTTGTAGCTTGCAAATAATGAAATTATGAATCTTAATTTCCAATATGTAGCTATTTCAAATGACAATTTGCATGGATTTACTTTATTATACAGCATTAGAAAAATCTGAAGTTTCCAGCCTATTTATTTTGTATTTGCATTTATTACATTTTTTTTAAGAATCTACTTCAAATATTTTAATTCTCGCTTTACTTTTTGATAGAGGAAAAATTATATTTTGTACTTTTTATGATAGTTTCACTTATAATTCAGTGTGTTTTATTATGTGATTGCAAAATTTTAATTCCTCAAGGATTAGAATCTGCTTTATTGCATGAATTGTAAATGCTATTTAATATTTTGGGTTTAGCTGTTAAACCCAGAATATATAACTAATATGAACTATAGCAAAATTTAATTTTAAAATTTTATTATATTTCCATAATTTTGATTTATATTAATATATGTTCTTTTTATATTTTATTAGTACTGTGATAAGAATAATATTAAGGCAAGGAAATTTTCATTAAATATTTTTAAACTTATAATATTGATGCAAAAATTTTTTTTTTTTAAATTAGTAAAGAGTGTGCATGTAGTTTTTGTAATGAAATTTTTTCCCATAGCATTTTAAATTAGAATTATTTACTTAAACATATGTAACTGTTTATTATAAAAGTTATCATGATAAAAGTTTTTCTTTTCCACATGATGGAAGAAAATGTTTTATTACATAATATTATTTGAACTCATGTTTTGTTGACAAAAGGATTAATTTATATAAAATTTAGGTATTCGAGGTATTTCGGAAGAAACCACTACAGGGGTTCATGCTTTGTATAAGTTACTCAAGGAAGGAAAACTTAAGGTCCCTGCCATAAATGTCAATGATTCTGTCACCAAGGTGATTTTCTTGTAAAAATTATTTTGTCAATATTTCAGTTTAAAGTCATGAAATCTTTCAACAACCTTATCCTTACTCAATTTTTTTCTAGAGTAAATTTGATAATTTGTATGGTTGTCGAGAATCGTTGGTGGATGGTATTAAGCGTGCCACTGATATTATGATTGCCGGTAAAGTCTGCGTTGTTGCAGGCTATGGTGATGTTGGCAAGGGTAGTGCTGCTTCATTAAGAGCACTTGGAGCTAGAGTTATCATTACTGAAATTGATCCAATTAATGCTTTGCAAGCTGCAATGGAAGGTTTGTTTTTTATATTTAATTTGTATTTAAAATCAATGAATTAATGAATTTAATAATAGTTTTTACAGTGTTGAGTGCTGCAAAAATTTTATTAATTATATTAGGAACGATAGAGTGTTTTTATAAAGAATATTTCGAATTATTGAATGGATTAATACAAGGATGAATTTTCTTATATTCTACTGAACTTCAAAAAAAATTTTCTATATAAGCTACAATGGAATGTTTTAATATTCAATTTGTATTAAAGATTAATAAATGAGTTAAATTTAATTTTCCTATACCATAGATTGTATTATTGAAATTATGAGAAACATAAGGTTTTAAACATTGATCATTTGTAAATGCTAGTTATTTGTTGTTCTTTAAAAATATTTAAATGCACCACATTCTGAAATTAAAAATTTCTACATACCGAGAAAATAGTTTATATATGTATATATATATATATAAAACTATTACGTATTTATTATTTTTTTACTAGATATTAGCCTAGTTGATAGGTTTAATACATGGTTTCAACACTAGATTTGTGAAGATTAGTTCTAATAGAATTTTTAGTGTTGAATAAATTTCAGTTACAAAGTATCAAATATGTTTAAATATTACTATTAGTTATTCTGTTTTATTCAAATTAATATTTAAAGTAAAATATATTTTACCTATTCGATTTAGCTTTATGTAGTAGTTATAATTTGACCTTTATTTTTATTTTATTATTTTTTTAAATCTAGCTTTTTTGTGTGGTTTATTTAAATAGAATTTAAGACTGTCATTCATTGTTTTAAAATTTTGCATGTTTTTAAGCTTTCATGCATGCTTTAGTAAGTTTTTACTCCAGTTATTGTCCCTGAAACTTTTTTTTAATTCAATTAAGCTCAAAATTATTCTACAATATTTTGTAAAATTAAGATTCCATTGTAGTAATTTTAAGTGAAGTTGTTATTTTGTTATTATTAATATTAAATCTCAAAAATGTCTAACCCTCTGTGGCTTGTTTGAAAAGGTATAACTAGAAGAACTAAATCTTTAAAGGCACTATTTGACAGTTGCTTTCTGGATTCAGACTTTTTCAATATTTTTGCTTTAATATTTGTGAAGCCTTAAAGATTTAGTTGTTAATAGTGAGCTAGCATGTGAAAATTTTATCACTCTTATGGTTTCTGCAATTAAGATCCCCCCCCCTCTCGAGAATCTATTCATTTCGTGTTTTGTGTTTTTAGAAAGCGAAATAGTTACAAATATGAGTTAGATAATGTGTAACTAATTACAAAATGGAAATATACGTCAAATATTGCAAATAAAATTCTTGCTTCTTAAAGGAAAAACTAGAATTACATTTCCATGTTTGCTATTATGGTCAAAGTAACTTGAGAATTCTTAAACTATTTTAAATACTTCATTATGTTACTAAAATACTTCATTGTGTTATAAAATACTTCATTAAAAACCTATGGAATAAAAATAAAGTAATTAAATGTCTTGAAAAGATATTTATTGTTAAGGCTACAGAAACTATTTTTTACTGTGATGTCATGCAGCTAGGAACACATTAGAATTTGTTTTTAAGTATTTTTTTAGCATTGAAAGCTTAAAAAACCAAATTATTATGATGCACTTTATATTTGACTTTTCACTGACTTGTGACTTTTTTTATTTTTCACTTATTAAGGTAACTATAATGTATTATGTTATATGGGAATAAAAATGTAATGTTAGTAAAATATTTGGTATGTATTCTTTAGGTTATGAAGTTACTACAATGGAAGAAGCTTGTACTAGACATGCACAAATTTTTGTGACAACTACTGGGTGCAGCGGTATTATTCGTGGTGAGCACTTCATGGCGATGAGGAATGATTCCATTGTATGTAACATTGGACACTTTGATTGTGAAATTGACAAAAAATGGCTTGATGCTAATGCAGTGGAGAAAGTCAATATCAAACCCCAGGTAAATGTACTATATATTGTTTGTATATAAAGTTTCAATTTTTTTTAAAATTATTAGTCAAGTTTCTGAAGATTGAAGTATCAATTTGCTTTTTGCCCAATAATTTAAATTAAATTCTCATGAATATATAAATATTTTTGGCATATTTTTATTTATTAAAATACTAGTTAATTTCTTTTAATGGAAATGTTGCTAAACATCTTTAAATTATAAATTTTTCATTTTAAATTTTGGTTGGTCACACATACAATAGTATAAACACTTAACTACAAGTGCCCCTTTCCAATTACTGCAACCCTTCATTTATAATGACCAGTGTGAGAAGTCTCCTTTTCTAATTAGCGGTAATGGTATTTTAGCATTCTTTAAAGCGTTTGAACCGAACCATTCACTGTAATATGGCAACCGAAAATTTGAATTTTTTTTTTAATTCCAAGAAAATTACTTCAAAAATAGGTGTTGAGCCTTTTTGAACATCAAATGATTTCTCTATTTAAAATGTATCAATGAATAGTTAAAAATCTCCATGAGATGATTTAATCAACTATTGTTTTTCATCTTACTGTTCAATAAGCATTCAATTTTGTGAATTCTCTATAAAAAGAGAAAGAGTGACAGGACCATCTATTCTTATTCTAGGTGTAGTCTATAGTCAAAAAAATAGTGGAATATTGATTGCTTTACTTTATAGAGAATTTGATGTTTATATTGCATTTTAGTGTGGAAATCAGTCTCCTTATTCATTCACAACATTGAAAAATTTCTTTGCAGAGGGTTCAATAACTCATCTATCATATTTTACATGTTTGATTCACTCTTCGTGAAGTGCTGCAGTGAGTGCTTTATATGGCCAATAAGGCATGTGATATTTGTTGCATTTTCTTAACTTTATTTTTGTTTCAAAGTGTTTTAGGTGGATGGCTGTTCATAATGCTTTGTCAATACTTTGAACCGAAGGAATAGTGTTTTTGTCAAAATAAGTCTTAATTTAGAGTTTTGAGTAAATGTTCGCTACAGCATCTTACATTATAATATCCATTTTCAGTGGGCCAATAGTGGTTGTTATATTGAGCCTCAACTGCATCAGAAATTTTTTATATCTACCTAGTAATAATTTTGCTAGTACTCACTGTTACCCCTGAGCTTATAGGAAATTCATTTATGTAATATCTTCATGGGTTAATTACATTTCTCCTCACATTTTTATTTGCAGCAAATCTTTACAATGCAAACTTTGAGACCTAAGGCTTTGAGTTCTATGGAATTTTGTGTTATATAAGTTATTTCACTTTACTTCACAAATATGCAAACTGAATATGGCAATATTAGTCGGAAACAGATCAATCTTAAAATGCTTTAAAATTATTTCTAGATACGAATAATTAAAAGCAGTGTGTACTTAAGTTTTTATTTTTTGCAGAAAAAAAATTCAATTTTCTGCTTATTAGAGTTGATAGCAACTTTTCGTTTGCTTGGCTTTTGAAATTCTAAGCTCTCTAATGTTAAAACCTAATGTTAAATTTAACCTCGCGAAAATTAATAGTTATTATAGAAATTTCTTCACTGCAAGTTAAATTGTTGTCACCCACAAAGCTAGTGTGGTTAATAGAGAAATGTAGTTTATAGAATTTTATTAAATGCAGATCTTAAACAGTATTACAAAGTTTTGGTTGTATTTTGTAAGTTAATACAAGTTATCTTCAAAGTGGTAGGGAAATGACCATCGAATTAACAATTCTAAGCAGAGATATTTTTATTTTGCCAGATCTTGAAACGTTTCGTCCAATGGGTTAAAAACATTTAAACATTTCATCCAATCCAGGTTTAAAAAATTATTGTTTTGGATAGATCTTTTAATTTTTTACACTTTATTGACTTAAACAATAATCTTCAGCATAACAACTCTTACTGCAACATAAATTATCTTATGTGCTTCAAGTTAGAGATAAGATTGTTTTACTTTATCATTCATAGAACATTACATACTCTATGAAAAAATTGACAAAAATGACAAACCTTAAATCACTTGTCCATTACAAAAATTGTTTAACCTCTTAAATAAATCCTTTGCACTCTGCAACTTCTCATACAATAGATAACTGTTACTTGATGAACTTTTGTCACTATAAGTTGCTAAAAATTATGCAGTAGATAAAAATACTTGCTGAAAAGTAATTTTACATGATGTATGTTTGTCATTTTGGATCCAAATAACCTTTTTAAAAGAATATAATTATTTCTAGGTTGATAGGTACAAGCTTTCAAATGGCAATCACATCATTCTCCTGGCTGAAGGAAGACTAGTCAATTTAGGTTGTGCAACTGGTCATCCCAGTTTTGTCATGAGTAACTCTTTCACTAATCAAGTGATGGCTCAGATTGAATTGTGGACTAAACCAGAAAGTTATCCCATTGGAGTTTACTTTTTGCCAAAGAAGGTAATATTTAGAATATTTCACTTTTTACATTTTTTACACGACAATATCGGATACTAAAATTCTAAGTAAAATGTTTTATGCTAAATTATAATTTTTTTAGGGAAAAAATTAGTATGATGTTGTAATTGTTAGTAGTACATGTTTCGAAATTGAAAAAGAAAATCAACGAATTAAATTTTATTTCTAATCTAAGAATGGAGATCATTAATCTATATATTTCTTTTTGGAAAGTGTGATGGAATTAAACAATATTAAGAATAGGTGATGAAAACTTTAATTCTAGGTGTTAAAATTGAAATGTTTTGAAACTCTCAGATTTGCCATAAATTTTTGTTTAAAAAAATTGCTTTATTAGCTCATAGCTACTTTTGTTCTAGATAAGTTCTAAAATTCCGAAATAAAAATTATTTTAGTCTTAAAAGATATGGTATAGGTGATTTTAAGCAAGGTATGTTTGTATACCTATTTTTATGGTGTGAAAAGAAGTAAGAGTAATCATTTTAATTGAAACTCATGCAAATTTATGATTAGTGGTATGTATTAGTGCTATTTATTTTTAGTAATTTTCTAAAAAATTTCTAAAATTTTATTGTCAAAGTTGATCCTTTTTTAGGCTAATTAAAATTCTCGAACTACATGTTTTTGAAATTTCTGACATTGTTTTAATTGTTTATATTAAATGCAAATACTTTCGTTTCAGCTTGATGAAGAAGTTGCTGCTCTCCATCTTGAACATTTGGGTGTAAAGCTAACCAAATTAACTCCAAACCAAGCTAACTACTTATCACTAAATCAAGACGGACCTTTTAAGCCAGATCATTATAGATATTAGTGAATTTAATTTATTCTATGAATAAAGAACAATAAATTTATTTTTATACAACTTGTCTGTCTTTGTTTTGCTATAAATTTTTTTTAAAAAAAATCACATAAATACTGGAGGAAATTTTCTCACAAAAAGCGCAAAATGAGTATGTTAAATCTTGATTCACTATTCATCTTCAGTTGGCCTTGAGACGAAGTATTGACTGCAAAAAACCATAATCCTACAAATAAGTTTCCTCAAAACTAAGTTACAAGATGGAAAAAAATTCAACTGTGGTATGTAATAACTAAAGCCCGGAATTTCAGGCAATAAAAAATGCAAAATTAGGCAGGCAAAAAGGCATTTAAAAAGCTTGAAATAGGCACTTAAAATTGAAGCAAAATGGTTGTTGGTAATGCCTAAAAGCCCATATAGGTATCCAAGGAATAAAAAAAGTTGCTAGAAGTATCCGGTATACCAACATATTCATTTCACTCGACTGTCGTAGTCAACAAAAGAAGTGGACATAATTGACACAAAAAAAAACCCCTCAACTGCGTAGGTGCGAAATAAAAATTGAAAACTCGTACTTACAATAATATTGTATGCAGATTTATTCTGATGATTGGTTGTTGCACATCACAACTAGATGCTTTTTCGAAACAGAAATTTTGTCTCCTGTCAGTCAATATAGTTTTAAACAAAGAGAAGGATCTTTCTACTTCGACAGAAGTTATGGGCGCGTGCGTAAAACAACTTGCCATGGTAGGAGATATGGTAAGTTCAACTGTAGTATCACCAGAAAGTACTTTTGCAATGTCCGTGATGCATTCAAAGTCTGTATTTGCGAAGATTACGTTTTCACATTTCTTCCTTATTATGTCACCAGATGGTCCAGGCACAGACATTAGTTCTTCAATAGTATTGTCGAAAATGTTTAGTGACTCGGACAAAGACATATTTCTTTTTTCCATGTGTTCAATAGCTCCAGGGAGCTTCCCAAAATAAGTTGAAATAAAAGTCAGTTCATTTTTAATTTTAGAACTGCTAAGCAGATTTTTACTTTTTCTTATGGATATTGCCTCTTCATCCGAAAAGCTGGTAAGGACTCGAGTAACTTCCTCAAAATTTGTGCAGTAGTATGAGACTGCTGAAATCCATGTTCCCCATCTCGTAAGGATCGGTTTAGGAGGTAATTGAATGTCTGGTGCAATTTCTTTGAACACTTGAACTCTTGAAGGGGCTTTCACAAATACTTTTTTCACACTAGAAACAAGCGAGTCTACCTCAGGATAGAGACCTCTTACTTCCTCTGCTATCCTGTGCAATGCATGAGCAAGGCACGTTAGATGGATCATATTAGGAAATAAAACTTTTAAGGCATTTCCAGCTTTTTTCATGTAGGAGGCTGCATCTGTAAGAAATAATAGCACTCTTTCATGCTCAGTACCATTTGGCCAAAGTAAAGCCAGTGCATTAGTGAACAACTGTGCAATTGTAGTACTGTTAGTCTTTTGCAACTGTTCAGATGTCAACAAAAAGATTTTATGTTTTTCAAATGGGTCCATAACACCAACAATAACATTCGCAACATATCGTCCAGTTACATCTGTCGTTTCATCTATAGATAGCCATATGTTTTTCGTTCCGATTTCATTTTGAATAGTTTTAAGAACTTCGGTATAACAGTCATCTAAATAAGTTTTCCTTAAAGTTGATTCACAGGGCACACTTTGATTCGTATATTTTTGCAAAAAAGCTCGTATACTTTTATTTTCAAGTTTCCACAGCGGAATGCCGGCATCTACAAATGATCTGCATAAATCCATTGCAAATTCCGATTTGCGAGGAAATAATTGAAAACAGGTGGGAATCAGAGTCGATGTTTTCCCATCTTTTTTATCTTTTGCTGTTTTATGCTTAGATGTCTCCAACTGCTGAGATATAAAATACTTCTTCTCAAAATTTACTGACTTCTCGCATGCCTTACAAAACAGAATGCTCCCATCAGTAGAAAACACATCCGACCCAAAGTCTTTCACAAAACTGTCCAGTTCTTTGCTTGTGCAGGCTTTTACTTTAGGCATTTTAGAAATAACTAGTATACTAGAAAACTTTTTCGTGCTCCTGCTACAATGTGCTCAACCAGCTTGGTGAATTCGTTTTGTTGATAAGAGAGCACACGAGTTATTCGATGGTGTAGGATATATGGGCCGAAAATAAGAATAAATTCTATTGACTGTAAGTAAAAATAACAACAATCTTTTCAGTCCCTTTCTCTCTCTCCTTGCAAAGCGCATCGGGCGAAGGTGATGCCACGTTTTCTGACGCCACGACGAAGGTGACGCCACGAAGAGACGGAGAGAAAATATTAATAAGACAAAAGGAATAAAGTCCTAATCTCTATAAATGCATTACAATACGTCGGATGACAGTCAACCATTTCTGTACTTCAAAATTTCTTCATTTTGCGTTTATGCTCGGTCAAAAGCACAAAAAGCTTTGCAGAAAAATTTTAAATTAGACAGAAATAGGCATTTATGAACAAAAGGAACGAAAAAGGCATTTTCAGAAGAAAACGTTTAAAAAAGGCAGAAAAGGGCATTTATGGCATTTTGCCTGAACTTCCGGGCTCTAGTAATAACTAAGGCCCAGATTTTGATGGCATTTGCATTTTTGGACATTTTCTGTCCTTTAGAGCTTTTTTTCAGATTTATAGGGCATTTTTTTTTAAAAATTTTGGGGTGTATTTTGTATTTTAAAGCATTTTTCAAGGTTTTTGTCAATTTTTTCCAATTTTTATTTTTTTGGGGGGTATTTTTATTACATGAAATGCATGATTTGTCCTATAATTTTACATTTCATATTGTAACTCTCAAAGAATATTTCAAAACGTTTGCTAGAGCATGCATTTATGCTCTAGAATGTTTCAAAATATTTGCTCCTAGTCAGCTTTGCCCCCTAAACCAGTAATCACACGATGTGGTGCCTGGTTGGATGCATGCGTATACTACAGTGAACATTTTAAGATAGTGAAGTCTATCGTCAGTATTTTTGATTCAGAAGATGCTGCATCAATTTAGATAGCGCTAAACGTGTTCGCTTCTGATAAAATCGAAGGAAACTTAGCATTTATCAAGTTTAACTTTGCTATTGAGTCCTCGACAATTACAAGTCTGGAGAAACTGGAATTGGAACTTTAATGAACGTAGAACAAGTATTACATTGCTTTATAGTTTTTGAAATGACTCATAATTTTAAAGAGTAAAGCATTGTTTTAGTTCTATATTTTTACTTTAAGTCACGTCATAAGGCATTTTTAGCGCAATTTTCGNAATGACTCATAATAATTTTAAAGACCGAAATATTTTTTTAATTCAATATTTTTGCTTTATTTAAGGCATTTTTTGCGCAATTTTTGCATTTTTGGCTCTTTTTAAGGGCATTTTTTGCACTTTTTAAGGGCATTAGTTAAGATGTTTTAGGTCATCAAAATCCGGGCTCTAGTAATAACTAAAGAACAAATATTCCCATCCTCTTGGGTGACAGTAATTTTTTAATAATAGTTACACTGAATTTCAGTCGAATTATTTCTGGATAAGTTAGCAAAGCTCCTGGCAATATATAGTAAGTAGTGTTGATTTAACTGCATTATTAGACGGCTAAAAAAAGTATTTAATAACTTTCGAGCCAATGATGGGATTTTCAAAAGCTTTTGGGTTACGGGACTAATCTTAATATGCTAATAAATTAGTGCCGACGATATTTTAAGATACAAAATCAGACCTAATTTAATGATTATTTTTTTCTCCTACCCCGTGCGAAGAAATAGTATTCAACTAGAATACATGATAAAGTAACAAAATAAATGTCTCTAAAGATAACTAAATTAAAAGAAGCATGAGGGAGTTGTACATATTTTTCATAGAAAATCTAAAAATTCGTTGCTGAGAATTCTTTTCTGGATAAAGCTCAAAATGTGCGTCTTAAGAAAACGGACACAGCTCAAAACGCATGCTTTAGAACATGGGTATATAGCTCGCATGTTTTTGAATGTAACTTTTGTGAATACATTTTAATGTAATTTTTTCTGAAAATATTTAAAATTTTGTATTTTATCTTGAAATATTTTAGACATTTTCACATGAAAAATTTTAAGGCACAACTTTAGTAATTTTCTTCATTTCAGAATTTAATTAGAGTATACTGTAATCTTAATCCTCAAAAGTAGTATTTAGAAACCTTGTCCAAAATACTGTAAAAAATGCTAACGTTAAGGTCAAATACAGTGCGCCATAAAAAAAACGGATAACTTTGATTAAATGATCGAATCTGCAAGCTCTCGGACTCAATCTTAGTAGTTCGAAGGGGTGACTTCAAACAGGCTAATTAATAAATGCAGATGCTATTTTAAGTTAAGACACAAACGTACTTTCCCTGAATAATCACCTTTTTTTTGTGCCAGATTCAGAATATAGAGAATAGTTACAATCTGGGAAATATGGTGCGAATAGTTTGATCAGGTGAGCACCCTTACTGAAAAATCTAGGTATTACGATTGAGGTTATTTAAATACCTCATTGGGTTGAAAAGGATGCAAGTGAATACCTTAAATATTCCTCCAGAGGTATCCAACCTGAGATAATTCATGTGTGGAGAGGAAGATATTTAATACTTTAAGGTGTTTCGTTTTCAACCTTAAGGTTATTATTTATCAACCTGAAGTATATTTTTTTTACACCCGCGGAAGAATTTATTCAACAGTCTCAGGTGTTTCATTTAACACTTCAGGTTATTCTGGATCTACCTCAAGTGTATTTTTTGACCGTTGGATAGGTTGTTTTTAATGAACGTGAGGTGTTCGATGTTCTACTTTAAGTTATTACTTTTCAACCTCAGGTCTAAATTTATTTAGTTGTTGAGGTATTTATTTATCTACCATTTTACACTTCTGGTTATTATAAGTCAACCACAAGTGTATTTTTTGACACTTAGAAAGGTTATTTTTTATGGATGGTGTTTTCAATAGAAATGTAAACAATAACAATCTCGAGCTCGGGACCTACTCCAGTTCCGGTTAAAAAGTTTGCAGCTGCTTACTACATGTTATTCTGATAGGCGATGTTTTCAAACGGATAATTTTGTTTTCAATAAAAGAAATAAACTAGATAATTTCTGAGCTCAAATCTGCCGTATTTCATAAGATATTAATGTTATTATGTAATTCTGGGGAGTTTGGAGTGAAAATTTGTTTTAGTTATTTTGTTATTTATTATTAAAAAAGGTGACATGGTTGCTAGATTTTGAATAACTCGCTTTTTTTGGCAGTCTTGATTTGGCCTCTTTCCATTTGTTTATTACTGTTTGTTCGTGTTGCAAGCTGTGCACCATCTTACGTTAGTGTTAACACTTTTAGTATTGTAAACAGTATTGTTAGCATTGTAAACATAAGTAATAAGTAATCAAATGCATTGTTTGCAAGAATCTCAAAACACAATGATGCCAAATGGCTTTAAAATACAACTGAAACAGTAACCCGGGAATTTAGGCAATCCCGAGCTTGCAGCGCTCCCTAGTGTAGAAAACACCATCCATTAGCGTGAGGTGTTCCATGTTCTACCTTAGGTTATTATTTCGTAACCTCAAGTATAGATTTTTGTATTTTTAGAAGTATTAATTTATCAACCTAAGATGCGACATTTTACACTTCAGGTTTATACAGCTATACAGCTGTTTTTGTTTAATACTTACGAAGGTTTTAATAAATTCAATTAAATCATCTTGAAATGACACTTTTAGGCGATTTTTACAGTTAAGAAAAATTATTTGTGGGAACTCACATTTTAATAAGATAGATGTCTAAGGTGCTTGAATTTTTAAAGCTATAAAACTGCAAATTTGAATAATTAGTCTGCTGAAATTAAAAATACTTTTATTTAAAACTAAAATTTAATTTTTTTTTACAATCCAACAAAATAATTTTGAATATTCATTCTGTCTACCAGTTGAAACTTGAAAGTATTGGAACCTAGAAGAAGAAAAAATATGATTAGTAAGAAAGTCATATTTACAATAATAGTGGCAGGTTTTAAAATATTAGAATTTTTTTTTTCCTTCTTGATTTAAATTATCTGGATGAAAGTAGTGTTCTTCCTTTTCCGATAAATGGCATTCCACTTCTATCATTTCTATTCAATCCATCGTAGCTAAAAGCGTTTAAAAGTGGGACAGGTACTCAGGGCTGGATTAGGTCAGACTAGGCCATGGCCTGGGGCCCCCAGTGATTAGGAGCCCCCTTAAAAAATTTGTTTTGAAAATAAATTTAAAAAAATTGAGAAAAACAATAATTTTTAAAAAAAAAAAATCAGTTTCAAATATATATTAATAAAATACGATAATATTTTTAGTTCTAATTTAACAAAAAGAAGTAAAATTTAGTTTATTATTATTTATTTTAATTTTAAATATGCTTTCTTAAATGAAAAGATATATAAATACTTTTATATTTGAATAAATACAAAATATACGAGAAAAAAAGAATTTAATCTAAGGGCCCCAAAAATTTGAATGGCCTAGGGCCCCGAGTACGCTTAATCCGGCCCTGCAGGTACCACAAAATAAAACAGATTGAAGAAAGTACTACCATTAACAACCTTTACAGAAATTCAAATAGATAATTTCAATCTTATTAGGAAGTTTTCATACTTTTTATTTTCCCATAATTGAACCTACATTTTTTTACAAATTTGATAATTAGATTTTCTTTCTTTTTTTCTTACAAATCTTTAAACTCAATAAGACTAGTCTACATTTTTAAACTTTTTCTCAGACTTCATGAAACCAATAGCTCTTTAACTCGTTGAATGCCATGGGGGTCACCGGTGATCGGCCCTGAGTTTGTTCGTAGCGCCATGGGGATCACCGGTGACCGGCTAAGCCAAGATTATTAGAAACACATAATTCTAGTAAATTTTTAATTTTTTTATATTATTATCGTTACCAAAATGGTTTGAAGAAATTAAACCAATACGTACAGGGAAAATCTTTTTGGTCAGTCGGGCAAGCCATGTAAAATTAGCGTTGCATTCAGCATGTTAATAAATTTTTGACGCTGATTTTGAAAAGGTCTTCCGTTATTGTCAATCACATCAGAATTTCGTTAAAAACAGCTATTTTAATCAATGTAATCAAGAATAAACAATCGTTTAGTTACATAAAATGTTTAAGTTAGGTGCGAATTTTTATGTATTTTTTACACCCAATCATATAAAATTAACCATAAGTTGATATAAGCATATGTTTTAAAGTTGCGAGCAATTTTATGTGAGGAAAATGTTTAAGAGAGAATGATTTTAAATGATTTTAAAAGAAGTTGAGTGAAATATTTCCTATAAACTTATAATATCGAGCAGAATAAAACTGCTTGATAGTTGCTACAAACATTTGCTTAAATATGAAAACAAATCTTTGGATGGAATTTTAAAAAAATGCATATAGCTTTCAAACAATAAATGCTTTTATTTGCTATTGATTTTTATTCAATGCAGCATTTAAATTACATAAACAATACTGACTTATTTCGAAAAAATTTAAGATTTCCGAAATTCGCTAATCTGAAATCGAAATTCGCTAATCTCATTCGAAAATCTTTTAAGTAGTGAACCATAAGCAGCCGCATAAAAAAGCTCATAACCTTGAAACAAATTGTTATATAAACTTGAAATTGGGTTTTATTGAATTCTTCTTAATATTCTAATAAGTAATTACAATCTGCTTAGCAGATAATTAACATGGATAAATTGCGAAAAAATAACATGTAGTGAAAAATAACAGTTATGTGGTCGAACATAAAAAAGTGAGCTAGTACAGTTATTAATTTTCAATTATCAAATGTCAGACAAACTATTGTCATCAACAATTTCATTAATTCAGTAGTTAATTATGAGAGATTACTTTTTCTTTTTTGTATAAATTCTGAACTATTTCACAGGGGAAGGCTGGGCAGTAGCTAGCTAGCCACTTCTTCCTTGTTGCTGCACATGTGCTATTTAAGGTCATCTCAGCAATATCAGGGAACTACTAGTCGATAAGTTCTGTAATTATATATTTATATTTTACAAAAAAAAAAAAAAGTCACATGCTAATCAGCTTTAAAATGCAGTGTTATTATACATATTTTCATTCATAAACAACAATATAAACTTTGCATATTGTTGTTTAGGAGTGAAAACAGGTATCCAAGCAAGCGNGTCACATGCTAATCAGCTTTAAAATGCAGTGCTATTTACATATTTTCATTCATAAACAACAATATAAACTTTGCATATTGTTGTTTAGGAGTGAAAATATGTATATATGTTATGAGTGAAAACAGGTATCCAAGCAAGCGATCAGCATACAAATGTAGCAGAATTTCAAAGCAAAATTGCTATTTTAAAAATCTTTCAATTTTCAATGATTTATTTAAAAGAGAAATGAACATTTCATTCAATTAATCAGCTTGCATACTGCTACGTTAAAACATATACATTTAAAAAAAAATAAAGAAAATAGTTATATTTGAGTAAATAGCAAACAATAAAATATACTGTGCGTAACCTGCTGTAACGATTCACCAGTAACGTTACCCTAAACAGCGACGAGAAATATTCTGATTATTCTCTTATTGCTAAGTCTACAACAATAGCCTCTAAGAATATCCTCTGACTTTAATTATTTAAGATCAGGAAGCTTCTTTAAAAGAAAAACAATAAAACTTAAGTTTGAAAATTGAAGCATAATTGATTAAAAATGATAAAACTAAATTAATAAATGTCAAATACACTTACCGAATTTCGCATAGACATTCGATTGTCAACACACACGCCATTCGCCGGCTCGCACGGAAATCTGGGAAGGGAGCTAGTTAATATAAAGTGTACTTTAAACTTTAAACAACCTCAAAATGAGCGGAAGTGTATGTAAAACAACCTCGTACACCTCAATTACGACCTTCATGAGGCATAATTTTCATGGTTGTTTTCTCATCAACCTCAAATATACCTCAAAACAATCTCAAATATATCTTAAATTTTCATCAGGGTAATCCAAAATTTGGACTTTTCATGTCAATTGTACTTTTTGCGTATTTCGCCATATCTCGAGAACTTTTTTAGTGAATTGAAAACATTTTCCACACAATTCCATGCAGAACTAGTAACTTTAGTAGTTAGAACTAGTAACTAGTATTTAACGCTTAATAAATTATTATTTTATTTAATAATAATAAAAAAAAATTAAATTGTAATGCATACAATTTCTAACATAATTCTGAAGAATGTAATTTTACACGACAAAATGCGAAATCGGTCGAATATTTTTAAAATTCAATTTTCAGGAACTATTCCACCGATTTTACGCAAATTTTGTATTTTATACAAAATTTCATTCTTTAAAATAATGTAAAAAATTGTATACCTTACAATTCAACATTTTCCCCACTAGTAAATAAGTACGTTTTTTGAATCTGATTTCGTAACATAAAATATCATCTGCACTAATTAGTTAGTATATTTGAGGTCACCCCTTCCAACCATTAAGATTAAGTTCTAGTACGTAAAAATCTGATTTTAAGATTAAAATTTATTTAGGGTGGTCCGTTTTTTTATATTTTGCACGCTGTATAACGAACACTGTTTTATCGCAATTTAATTAATTAATTTATTTTTTGTTAGTAATGGCTCATTTCTCATTAAAAATTCGTAAATGTTTGAACTTATGCTGCGGTTTTTTTAAAAATCCAAACCGCATAGTCTATATTTAATGTTCTTCGAGGCATATAACGTTCTTTCTATTCTTATCAAACCTTTCGTTACTTTTGCTCACAAATTAACAAATGTAATCAAATGGTATCCTTCCACGTCTTGCAGGGTCACAGCAGCTTAAGTACTTTAAAGATTCTTGACCTTCTAAGTGCTGATTGTTAAAGAAACTTGGAAAAAAAAGTAACTAAACAAATGATAACATGCTTCAAGTGATCACTATTACCAAAAATGCCGTTATGGTGAACTTTGACTTAGCTATTATTATTATTTTCTTTTTTCTTTACATACTTTCACTTTTTTGATCTCCTTCCTGTCTCTAAATTAAGCACCAGGCTTGTTTTAATTTTAACGTGGGTGAATGTTGTAGATAAGGTTTAGTTTCTTTTGGAAATTTATAATTTTTTTTGTTCTATCTGTAAGTTTGTGGTTTCTTTTTACTGTTGCAGCTTTACTGACATAAAGATGAAAAAAAGCTAGATGCAACAGACTATAGTTAGAAGTACATAGACTTCATCATCATAATAAATGGATTTTAGTCTTTTTGTGTGAACTCATAGGAATATCCAGATTACCCACCGAATTCCAGTCAAACTATTATTTATTTTTGTTTGCTTTTAAAAATATAAAATATCGTCTGCGATTTGGATATTTTTGTTTTCTTTCACCAAAATCATTACGATATGCACAAAAGCAACGCATCTGTGATCTCTAGCACTATCTGTCTTAAGTGCACGGGAAATAATTGACTATTTTAAGAAAATATATCAATAAAGATATAGTATTGCAGATTTGAATTTATAAGTGCGGTAAATCTAGAAATAATAATGTCAGCTTCAGAAAAGGCATTTCTGAAGTGTTTTTGTGTTTTATTAATTTATTTATTTGACTTCATTTTCTGTGCAACAATTAATGATGCTTCACATATTAAAGAGGTGAGTAAACTTATTTATATCAGTGAAAGTAAATTATGTTTGCATGTTGTACATAATGTACATGTTGAATGTGCACGTGTTGTATATGTTCGCGTTGTATGTGCGCTTTAATAGGAATGCTTCTTATAAGTTATTAAGGCCAAAGGGAATGTTTAATGTAACATCAAATTTTGAACAAATTAGAAAATTTTAATTATACAACCATATTGCGTTTTTTCTTTGTAGTCGTGACATCGATTTGATTGCTGAAATTTTAAGTCCCCGCTTTTGAGTCTGTAAAGGACATTCGATCTTTATTGACACGAGACTTACAATCGAGACTTTTAACCACTTTCTGACTAGATAGAGCACCTGATGAAATGCACGTTTCTGACCGCTATAAACAGATTTTATAGCCTTTTTTTACTACATTTTTATGAATTCGCTTTCCTATTTGTGAGAGTTGAATCTTGCAATTAATTTGTTGATTGTTCTTGTAAAAGAAGTTTCGACTTCTTTCATAATCGAGCAATCAAATCTCGATTAGTAGTTCCGTGTCTGATGAGGGTGCAAGTTTCTATCATTTCCTGGCCATATAAAAGTGAATTTATCGTCGCATTTATTGTTAAATAGATTTTATCATTATTTTATTTCTAAAAGTGAATTTATTTTCAACAGCAATTTGTACCATTTTTCGATTAATTAAAATGCTTAACTCTTATCTGGAGCCCTGAAACTGATGGCTATATAAATTTCTACTTCTGAACTAAACAAAAAGAATTTATAGTCATTTAATTGTTATCGGGAATTTATCATTCCTTAACATTCCGAGCACTTTCCGTCTTACTAGAGAGTTTAAATCCTCACTTAAGCAGTGTTAGCTGACATTAGAAGTGCTCATTGTTTTCTGGCCCACTACGATCGTTATTTACCACCATTCAAAAATCTTAACCATTTTCCTCTAGCTAGAGTGCACAAATTTGAACTGGTTCTCTATGTCTGACACCAATGCATGTTACAATTGATTTTGGAATTACAGAAAAGAAAAAATTCACATGTTTCCAACGGAAACAAACTAAAAGACAAAATAAACAAATAAATAAATAAATAAAAATAGTTTTAGGCTTTTCATTTATGTTTCTAAACGAAAAGCTCACTCACGCGTTTATTGTTTATAACCTATTCCTGACAAAAATGAAATTGTTTTCTCATTTTAAGTTCATTATGCAAACTTTGTTTTCAAAATTTTTATTTATTTATTACCTTAATTTTTTAATGATTCCTTCCTTGTTTAAACAACACGGATGAACAATTTTTCTTATTGCATGAGATTTTATAACGGATTTCCAATCGCTGATTTCAAATCTGCAATCGATTTTTCTCTCCAGTTTTTTTAAGAACATTTTCAGTCTAGTTAATAAAAATGTAATAAAAATGTAGGAAACGTAGTTAATAAACTGGAGCGTGGAGAGATAAACCGATTGAGAAGTTGAAATCAACGATACGAAAGTATCTAAAATCCGCTAAAAAATCTCATGGAACAAAAAAAAAAAAAAAATGTTCCCTAGTGTTATTTAGGTAAGGAAGGAATCATATTAACAAAAATCAATAATAAATAAATACATAAATAAATATTTTAAAAACTAAGTTTGCAAAATAAACTTAAAATGATAAAATTTCATTTTTAAGCTCGCACATTTCAACAAAAAAATATAGACTAAAAATGTCATCGTAAAAGTAATCTGTAGCTTTAGAAGCAAAACTAATTTCAGATTTGAAATCCTCACATCCGAATTAGGCAAGATCTAGTGTTGGTATAAAATTTATTCCTCAGAGTAAACTTCATTAATTTGTTTTTGAGTATTAGTTTGTTTTAGATTGTAATTTGGTTTTGAGTATTTCCAACAAAGTTAAATTTACAGAAGAGACAAAAAACTGAATAGTTAAGTATCAGTTTGATAAATAAAGCTTTTTTTATTTTTTGATATTAAAATACGGCTGGTTACAAAATATTCTATTGCAAATGTTCGATAAATCACTTAATTTTTTAATTTAAAAACATAATTAGAACTTGGAGATGGCGGGTTTTCGGACAAAACTTTAAAACGAATTACTATACATATTTTTAATGAGCGAAAATATTAATAATTTGACATTAAGAAATGAAATAAAGATTACATTTTAGTCTTATACTACATATTCAAGGATATTTGTGTAGGTTAAGAAATCTTTTATATCATGACTATCTGTTCTAAGCCACTTACAAATTTCTTCTTAGAAAGAGAAAAACTCATTTGGTTTATATTGTAAAACCTTTTTTGATGTCTGCAATTTTTTGTGGTTTATGGCAACTTTTTCAAAATGTGTTTTCTTAACTTTTTATGGTGCTACTTTTAGAGTACTTTTTTTTTGTACAGAGTAAATATTAACCATTGAAATGAGATACCTCAACCTCACCAGGTGTAGTTTTTTATAAGTAAAATTGCGATAATGTGACACCTGAAGCTGTTGTTTCTCCTTTTTTGCTTTTCCAGAGGAGCATTTTGATAATTTTTTCGCATTCTTTTTTTTATAATACCCATGGGCGGATCGTGATTTTGTGGGGCCCTGGGCTGAAACTACTTTGGGGCCCTAATAGCCATTTTGTCAAAAAAATTGTTTTCTATAGTGATGTAGATAAGTATATACAGAAAAAAATAGGACAATAAAATAATTTTATTAATTTTTTTTACTTATTTATTTTTATTTGTCTATACAAACAGCAACTGTACAACATTATTGCAAAAGAAATTGACAGGTTAAGTGTAGTTATGTTAGATAAATTATCAGGCAACCTTTCTGCATTTTTGTGGTGCAAATTCCTTTATTTGTTCAGCACATTATAAGTCCTTCGTTAAATCACAATTTATGGAAAGAACTGATAAATGATTTAGTCGATGGTTCGACATTGTTGTCCTATATTTGTTTTCTATGTATGACATCCTGGAGAAAGAGAGCTCAGCTTCACAGCTAGTGATTGGCAAAGTTAAAAAAACCTTAAGATAGTGTAGCATAGAAACATCATAGAATGATAGTGTAGAAAATATCAACAAATTTCTGTGGGATGAGAGGGTTGCTGGTAGTCAAGACAGTTATTAGTAAACTAAACAAGTTTGACACTTTGACGACGAGAACAGAAGTGCGGAAGAAAAAATTACGTCGGGAGTTAAGCGGCGCTGCGGGAAGTCCCCCGTAATAGACGCGAAAAAATACACTGACCAAAAACAAGCGACTGGTAATTCCCCGTTCCGTTCGATAGACGCGCACATGCATGGGTTGATTGATCTCAGGGTTGCCAACCTTATAATAGTTTTTTTTTTTAAACATTAGATATTTTTTTAAATTCAAAATATCACCGATTGTTTTCAGTGGGGACTGGGGCCCTTTGTATCCACGGGGCTCTGGGCTGCAGCCCAAAAAGCCCTTAAGTAGATCCGCCCCTGATAATACCCTGGCCTCCTGACCACCACCTTTCGAAATCAAGTATCATATTATTTGTAGTCATTTCTTTTTTCAGTTCATAGTTACTTTTATCCCTCTTTATTTTCTTCTTAAATATACCATCTACACAGAACTACTCTCTGAATAATCACTTATTGTGCGAAAAAAACATTAACAAAATACCAAGCCTAAACTAAATAATTAATAGTTAGTTTATATCCGAACAATTTCATAATCAACAACGGCAGCCAACTGGCGATTTATTTCCGAGTTTATTCCGAGAAAAGGACATCTCCAGGATATAACAAGTTTTCGAGCTAATTTGCACAGCACAAAATATACTATAAATAAGAAGGGACTTTCCTTGTCTTCTGGATTGGTTCAAAATTACAAGGCTACGGAGTTGAACATTAGTAGTCGTGAACCCATAAAATTGGGTTGGCTGTTCAACGACGGTTATAAAATAAAATATAAATAAGTAGGAGGACATGAATTTTTTATATACTAACTATATATTTACGTAAACTAAACTTAAAAAATGCAAGAATCTCAATTTTGAAAAATAGTGGAGCTGACTGGTTTTCGGATTAATTATATAATTTAATTGATATAAGATTGTTTACTAAGTTTTCAATCTAATGTCTACATAAAAAATTAATTAAAAATAATACGCAAAATTATATTTTCCATTTATCTATCGAATTTTAATGTTAAAGATAAATATAATAACAATATTTTTTATTTAACAAAAATGTCAATTTTTTTTAGATTTTTAATATAAAAAAATAAATAAATAAATAAACTAAACAAATTTTTCCCCCTCCTCTGCATTTCGACTGTTTTTGACTTTGTATTGAATCAAAACTGAATATTTTTATTGCATTGCGTATCCAAGATTTACGGATTCATTTTTTAAGCAAAGGAATGAAATTCAGTACACGCAAAGATGATTATGCCCCAGTTTTTATTCTCATCACTTTTTCATTAAAAATAAATGTGCATCGTTAAATTACGCAGCATTCATTCTTGCAGATATTTGAAAACACAATGTTATGACTTCTTTTTATTCCACTTGAAAAACGTAAATTTTTAAAATTTTATTTTATAGCTAAAAATTTTAACAGCCTGCATATTACTATCGTAACTGTGTAGTTTTCGCAACATGTCCTTACATGTAATTGAATGCACGCTGGCAATACATAATGCTGTAAAATATCGTTTATGAACTATCTTTAAACGTACATCATAACATGCTGATCAATGTTAAAAGAAAACAAGTTATTTTTGTTAGACGATCAGTTGAATGGAATGTATGTTGAAAGGCATACTGATCACAAAAATAACCTTGGAGAGTGATAGCAGCATCAGTACAAGTTTCAAATTAATTCAAGGCTGACAAGATAAAAATAAAATGGAATATTTCTCCACACCTAATGTGACACAGCATGCTGATAAACGTTTTTCATCGTGAGCTTATTATTACTTAACAACGATAATTATACGGTTACGTAATGTCGTAAGTGTTCTATTTAGTTCTTACC